ATAAAAGTGGCCGTTAGCTAGCAATACATGCCTGTTCCTAGATGATCTATAAAGTAATTATACATTGACCCTTCCATTCATGCAAACGTAGCTGTGTTACACAACACGACCCTCTGCATCTTTTGCTCTGCCAGGGTCCACCTACTTGGCAATGAACAAAGACCACTCTTCTTATAGCATCACACTTACAAACATAAAGGCGCCTGTATCTCCAAACTTTACAATGAAACGTGGGGTTTTTATTACAGCAATGGGCTCGGCTTGGCCAACAGCACCTTATGTGAAAGTTTCGCGTTCAATGTCGCAAACAGCCCAAAAAATATTTTTTTGGTCGTCGTCGAAAGAGGTTGAGCCCCGGATCCAGTTTGGCTGGTGGCGACATTGCGAAATCTGGGATCGCCCACGATGAACTTCATACTTTGACACAAGATTCCTTTGACCCCGACAAGCACGTTGATCTATTAAAGAGCCCACGTTTGATTGTAAAGTTTGGAGATACAGGCACCTTTATGTTTGTAAGCATGATGCTATATGACAAGTGGTCTTTGTTTAATGTAAAGTAGTATGACTATAATAGAGCAAAAGATGCAGAGGGTGTGTTTGTGTAACTTGAGTCATTCAGCACAGGCACCAAATGCACCAGCTCCAGTGTTTGAATTAGTGAATTGAGGATTGGATGATGCGATAACGCATGAGTCAGAGGTATGGAGGAGGAAATTATCAACCTTGTCATATGTAATGGTACCGGCTCCTATGCAAGGATAAAGGCAATGGAGGAACGAGGATGGGGTATTATCATTGGAGAGGACGCATAAGGCACTTGTTGGATGAAATAAGCGTAGATGATGGCAAGGAGCGATACAAACAGGATTGTTCAGTGTGAGTAGAGAAGATGATCAGCTATGAATACTATGATCGGCGAGATGGTCATAGGTGCAATGGCACGTTGTCTTTACTATTATGGGTCAAGCATTGCTGCCACGCGATCAAAAGCGCGAGATAGCTGCAGACATGGATAACCATTTAACCATCATCACCATGACTACGACTATTACATGATTCATAAAGCCATGTAGCATCCATTCAACAGTCAAACATCAAAGCCCGCTTCATTCTCGCATTGTTTTGGGATTTGGGTAGTAATGGGGTCATGTGGATCAGTGCCCGAAGATGTACATAGGCTGTTGGCATCATGGTTCTACTGGAAGCGAAAAGGAACAGATGTGGAATCGCTCCCCACAATCAACGCACCCTTGTTTGGGAAAAGGCCTACAATTTCACTTAGGGTGCATGATGCTAATAATACACACGCCATGCTGCAGGTAAGATGGGAAATGTAAGGGGCAGTTTATTCAAGAGCAATGGCATCCTTGATGTTTCCCTTGCCAAATAGGGTGAATCGCGATGCTTTGTGACATTAGCCATATGAGAAAGAGATACCCTTTTACTCAAAGTAATTGATCAAGCATAGCTGCAGCCCCTTAATTGACCCTACCGATGGAACAGCCGATGTTGTTGTGTTGGGTAGTAGTATTACTATGTATCATTTCATTGTCTAAATGATGGGATAGTACAAGCCTATTATAATGAATTGGGGGGCGGGAGACATAAAAGAGTAGCCTCGTTTTACAGTGACACGAGCTGATCTATCTTCTCCGTGATTGCTTCTCGAGCTAGTGGAACACCCCTTTTGCTTCCCCTTCATGATCCCGAAAGGCACCGAGCAAAATGACCGCCGCTTCATCTTCACGATCTCCATGCCTTAGTGCGAGCAGACTCTACATTGTTTTCCACCAAGTCCTCTTCCTGGTCACTGGTCTCATTACAACATTGGGAGTGCAATGGCTATTCTATACTGGGGCTGCAAGTAGGTGGATGAATACACTTGATCCTCTCGATTCAGCTCACTCATTCAGCAGATGAACATACTTTTAGCTGGTGACAGTTATCTTACACAGCTCTCTCAATACATTGGTATGGTCCTGGTGGGTCTTCTTATTCCAGTCATATTGGCAAGACAACGCAAAATGCATCAGTATACGACTGTATCCACCCATGCTGATGATGGAGAAGACGAGGTATATTGGGGACTATGAGGTACAAGGATATGAGAACTCAAATGTGATTGTATCAGCGTCAACGGATAAGCATGGAAATATTGGATGATGGAGAAGATGATAAATCACGAAGCACTGATGAGGTGGCAGCAGCAGCAACTACAGCAGCAAATAATCAAGATGTTGTCGATGGTCCAATCAAGCACAAGTCTGTGTTCAAGTTAGCGGTGCTGGATGTGGTAGCCAACTTTTGCGTAACCCTGGGTTTTTCAGTGATCGGCAGCGGGGTAAGAGCCATTGACCATTTTAGTCCACCACAACGCTCACGGACCACATTAGATGTATCAAGTGATCTATAGCAGTGTCGTGATTTGGTGCGCTATTCTTACCTACATCTTCATGGGCCGTACTCTTACTCGTCTACAATGGATCGCCATCTTCGGTACAAGTGCAGGCCTTGCCCTGAGCTCATTCGGCAACTTTGGTATCAATGGCGACAACGAGGAGGATCAAGGCGCTGCAAAATTAATGCTTGGCACCATCATGACAATGGGAGGAACATTTTTCTATTGTAAGGAGGATACATGGAACTATAACTTATGGCACCATAACTGATTTGGGATTCTCTTCATAGCATGCGTATACGTGTATTCGGATTGCATATTGTCAAAACAGATACCCCCACCATTGGCTGCACGTGTATGCTATACCACAGGACTTTATGCGACCGCTATGTCAATCCTTTGGGTCGGCATTTACACTCTTCCCCAATTGGATTCGCTTGTCAACATTGACCCAGAGGTGAGCACGCTTTCAGTGTCGGCCATGTATGCTCTCGTGACAATTGCAAATGCTACCCATTCTTGGAATTACTATGAGCTGGTTGATCGGACAGGCAATGTAAGTGATATACATTTGGACATTTATCGCTGGTGGATGATCTCTGACAAGTACATTACAGGTCGCTACCGGTATTTTGCAAGGACTACGTGCGATTTTGGTTTATATTCTCAGTCACTTGTGGTACTGCAATACCGATGCAGCCCAATGTAAGTATAAAAAACATGCCTTTTAGGTAGCTGCTAACCGATTTACACATGTAGGCTTTACGACATACAAAGGATGTGGATCAGTATTAGTCATAGGATGTGTATTGCTTTTCACTGTTGGAGGAAAGGATAAAGGAAAAAGATAAACAACGCTTTCAAAAGTGATGCTACTACTATTGGAATGACAATGAGAGAAAGGGGGATGTGAAAAAAGAAGGTTTGAGGATGCTCCCATTCTAGAGAATATGCGAGAAGCATTCAACCAATGAGGAGCAGGCAGAAAAATTATATAAAGTGTGCCTCTCCCAATGCGTCTTTTTTCTGTTCGGTATAACTACAAATCTTAAAATCAGGAGGATTGTCATGCTGAGCACTTTGGGTAATCAACCATAACCATTATTGACGAGGACATACGTACTCATTTTACGCAACATGGCCATCATAGAAAAGCATATTGACTCGCCAAACGATCTCAACAATGATAAACGAGCCCATGCAACAGCCATCATTGATCCATGCAGCACCTCATATCAAGAAGAGTCTGATGATGACGATTCATTATTTGAAGAAACCGGCTTGGATGCAGCCTCAATATACCAAAACACTTATTTTATGGATGGTGACAATCATTTCATTTCTGTACGCTTATATGAACCTTGCGTTAATGACTGTTATTGACCATCATCCTCATTCAGTTACCCAGCCTTGGTAACAGCAGCAGTAGCAAGGATGCAACATTTATCTCACGATTATTCGAAGAATGGCTCGAGCAGAAACTCCGTGGAAAGCAAGCTGACGATCCCTTACTTCCTATCCTTGAAGATAATGTTGACAGCATAGCCAACGAGATCCTGGATCGTTTGAAGCACGAATTTATTCCCAAAAGTGTCTCCAAAGCGCTGCTTAAAATACGTACAGGACATGTCTACACATATCACCAGCTCGAGGACGGGCAGCCGTTGATTACACAAGATATGGAAGAATTTTTCCAGCAGTTTCCACTCTTCGTTGAGATCACCATCCACACAACCCAAAATGCAGCTATCCATGAAACCAGCCAAAGCAACAAATGCACGCTTTTGCTGTCTATGGAGAACGTCACTGTAAATCCTGGCAACCCATACAGGCTTATGGATGAGATTTCCCTTTCAATACCTTCATCGCAGTAAATGTTGAGGATAACAAAAGCCGGCAGCCCAACTACCCCTTCGTTACTTTATTGTAAATATTACTATCCAGTCTAGCCATAAAATGGAAAGAAAAAGATCCCCACAATCAATGTGCATATAGTTTGACATTTTTCCTCAACCATTGTTGTATTACGGGCCATTGGGTGGAAGAATAAGGTTCTATGTACTCTCTTGCATTTCCTTGTATGCTCCTAAGCTGCCACTCGCCTTGACAATCGGGTGCGGAGTGGAAGACAAGGCAGTGCCAGCAGGTGCCACATCTCCAGGTTTGCCATAACCACCACCACCAGGCGTTTGGATGATAATGCGATCGCCTTTACCAAATAAGGCCGTGTTTTTCCCAGATAAGTTCAAAGTAAGCACCTTATCACCACCATTGACATGTCTGATCCACAAGTTCAATCCCGATTTGCCATCCTCTCCTCCTTGCATGCCATATGGCCTGAATACGCGACGTTCGGATAGGATAGATACTTGTATGTCGTCTTCGAGATATTCAATGTCACGAATAACACCATTGCCACCATGATAAAAGCCGTTGCCTCCCGATCCTGCATCCAAGATTTGTTATTACAAGCATATTCCACCACCACGCTTTATCGATTTACCTTGTCGCAAGGAGAATTCACGCAACAACACAGGATAACGACGTTCGAAAATCTCGGGATCAGTGATGCGAGTATTGGTCATATGCTATGAATCATATCACGTTAGGCGGGGTGGATGTAATGGATCAGTTGCGGAGAATGACTTACAGTATGCACGCCATCTTGGCCATGCCATCCTGGTCCCGCTCCATGACCTAAACATGCAACAATGAATATTCTTTGTTCACAAAAACACAAAGACACACTTACCACCAGCGATGGTTTCATAGTATCCCCATCCAGCACCCTTATCAGTGGCGTCCTTTCCAAAGGTGAGATTGTTGCAATCACCCTGACTTGCTGCACAAGCACCAAAAGCCTTGAAGATCACATCGACAATACGTTGACTTGTCAGGACATTTCCTCCAACGACTGCACATGTCTCTGATGGGCTCAAAATGGATCGAGGTGGAATTCGGATATCGATTGGCTCGAGACAACCCGAGTTGAGTGGGATATCTTGGGCTACGAGACATCTCACGCAATAAATCAAGGCGCTGTGGCATACGCTTTCAGGTGTGTTGGTGTTGCCATAGACCTCTGGACCAGTGCCTTCAAAATCAAACACAGCATTTCCCGTATCCTTGTCGATTGTGATCTTGAGTGAAATAGGCGTGCCATCATCCATGTAATCGGTCGCTGATAATACCCCATCCGCATGTTTACGAGCGTATTCCTTGAGAAGATCCCGCACAGCATTCTCGGCATTCGAACGAATATGAGCCATGTAAGCTTGAACCACCTCGAGGGAATATTCATCGATCAATGACTTGACAAGGTTGATACCCTTTTGATTGGAAGCAATTTGCGCCTTGATATCTAAGCCAAAATCAATCATCACCCATCCACAGGATACAATCATCCTTGTTTTACATACCTGATACATTATCGCGAAGCAATCGAGTACCAGAACAACCAGGGTAGGATCCAGGAACGTCATACAAGTAATGCTTGATGCCTTTCATATCCAGCTCACCATTTTGAACAACCTTGAACGACTTGATGGCAGCTCCCTCTTGGTATAACTAAAGGATGTCAACGTTAACAAAAATAACTTTTGCTATGATGATGACGTTTGAATTACCTCTTTGGAGAAGGGTGGCATCGAACCTATTTTTACCATGTATGAGTGAGTGACGACGTTGATCATGTGTGCGTTTCAACTTGCCTGCAGTCAAGCCGCCAATATCCGCATGATGAGCACGAGATGCCACAAAGAACACAATCTTGCCTTTGTCGAAAACAGGGGTGATGATTGTGATATCTATTTTTTGGGCCATTCACCATGAGAACGAAACACCTTCTAAAACAATATCAAATACTTGCCTGGTAAATGAGATCCACCAGCAGCAGGATGATTTGTCATGATGACATCGCCTTCTTTGAGATTGCCCTTGTAATAATTGAGTTGGTATGTCACAGCATGGCTCAAAGCACCAAGATGAACAGGAATATGGGGTGCATTCGCCACCAATCCTCCTTCAGCTCCAAACAATGCACACGAGAAATCTATAAACGTAATCTTGTAAGCTAAAAGTACTCCAAGGCGAAAGAGCTTGAAAGCCTTACCTAGACGTTCCTTGATGTTGGTGCTGATAGCTGTCTTTTGTAAGCTGCGTCCCATTTGTTCTGCAATGCTCATGAAACGGTGCGAGAAAATGGATAATTGGATAGGCTCGAGTTCGGTGGTGATCTTTTTCCTTTCACCTTTTCCAACTGTGATGGTAATGTGTTGTGATGTAACCACGGCGGCACAGAACGGTTCCACGACAATGGTTGCTGTGGCATCAATAATGATTGCAGGACCAGTAACGCGCGTTCCAGGTGGGAGATTTTGGAGTCTGTAGACTGGCACATTGTTGTCACGGCCGCTTGATTCAAAGTAGACCGATGTAACAGTGTCACGTAATGCAACAGGGTCAGCATCCTTAATATCAAGTGTGTCGAGCTCATGCTTTGGCGTCAATGCTTTGTCGCCACCCAAGGTATGTCCAATTCCACGCACACGTATATCATCCACGATAATCTTGCGATCCGTCAATGCAAAGCCGAATTCTTGCTTGTATAGCTGAACAAAGGTGTTTTCAAAATCCCAAGAATCTTCGGGCTTGAGAGTCATCAAAGCGCAATCGGTGCCTTCGTATCTCAAATTGAGATAAATCTCTGTTGTAATATCACTGGTTTGGAATCCTTGCTTTGCCGAAAGCTCGTTTGTGCAATTCTGGATCAAATGATTGACGCGTTCTTGAAGTCGTGGCATTGCTTCTTGACCGAGAGTTTCAGCTGACGGCTCTTGTACCTCTTGAACCACATCTGCCAAAGCCAAACCAAAGGCGGAGAGAATTGAGCTATGGCGGTATAGAATAATCTTGCTGATACCCAAATTGCGTGCGATACCACTAGCTATTGTATATATATAATATCAGTATTCAAAGCACAGGTTCAATGGCATCAGCTTTTCTTACCATGTTGTCCACCAGCACCACCAAAAACAGCAAGGGTATGATGACTTGTATTGTGGCCTTTTGCTTCTGTCAATGAGCGGATAGGGCGACACATTGTCTCGTTTGCCACCTTGAGAAATCCATAGACGACCTCATCCACACTCTTTGCATCTCCTGGATTTGCCGCGTTGATCTCTTCAGCAAGCTTGGAGAACTTTTCTCGGACAATATCGACATCCAATGGCTGATCTTCTGAAGGCCCAAAGATCTTTGGAAAATATTCTGGAAGCAATCGACCCAAAAACAAGTTGGCATCTGAAACTGCAAGGGGGCCTCCTTTCCTATAGTATGAATCTATATATGAGCAACCTGTAAAATAAGAAAGACGTCTATTGTGACATACCTGTAACATGCAGGACCTGGGTGGGCACCAGCACTCTTTACAAAGGATGTAAGTACACCACATTTATACCACCAACGTCCCCTTATCTTACCTCGGGTCCAACCACAAACATTCCATTCTTGAAGAATAACATAGAACCACCTCCTGCTGCCACTGTATTGATGTCCAATTGAGGTGCTTGAATCGTGATGCCAGCTGTAGTAGTTTCAAACACGTGCTCAAAAGCTCCACCATAACGAGATACGTCTACAACGAACGTGAGTGATCCGATCCTTCCCTTGGGAGCCAGCAATAATGATTACCTGTACTAGTTCCTCCCATATCAAAACCAATAACAGGCTCCCCATTGTCCGCTTCAAAGGATGTGGCACTGTATCCCACGACACCACCAGCGGGTCCTGATAGGATGGCTCTGAAACCAGAAAAGTTGCTCACTGGCACAAGACCACCATCGCTTTGCATGAATTGAAGCTTGGTCCTTTTGGTCTTGAAGCCATCATCGAATCCACTGACAAAGCCTTGAATGTATTTTTGAATACAAGGAGTCAAATAGGCGTCAGCTGTAGCCGAAGTACCACGGGGCACAATCTTGACCATGGGCATCACCTCGTGGGATAATGAAATATGAGTGAAGCCAATGTCACGAGCAACATCACCAATCATATTTTCGTGATCTATGTAACAACATTCATTGTTAGCTTTCATCTATTGTGTGAGATGTGACCTTTGAATGGTACCTGGGAATGTGTATGAATGCATCAGGCACACAGCAATGCTGCGGAGACCATTGTCATAGAGCGCTTGCAAGTCTTTCTTCACAGTTTGTAAATCTAATACCAATGAAATGTGAGAAGGTGTATTGGACCTCGTCATTCGTGAGCAAGCATACCTGGTTTTCGCAATACTTGAATCCATTCACCAGAGATGCCTTCCACTGCTCCTGAAACTTGCTCGGGGTTTTCCACGCGATCCATTGCAGCATCCGAGTTTATCAATACAACGCTATCATCTCATTTGTCAGCAAAAGATCACAAGCACTTTTAAGCACAAACATACCGCTCATCCACCTCAACGACGCTTTGTTGGAGAACATCAGGCTTGGTGATCGACAAATCAAAGATACGAGGACGTGATTGGTTGCCTGGAATAAACAGATTAGTCAATAAGCTCGACACCATCACATCTCACCCAAGTGCATATACTACTCTACCAATGCTCAAGAGATCTCGGAAACCCTTGGTAATAATAAAGGCACATGGTTCACCCTTGCGTTCCAAAAGGGCATTCGTAGCCACAGTCGTTCCCATACGCACGCTGTCTATTACACTTGATGAGACCTTTGCATGCATAAATAAACATGGACGCACACACATGCACTTACCAATTCTATCGGTGGGTACAGGCTCGTTTCGTGGGATAGTTTTGCCAGTAGCCATTTCGACAATGCGACGAATGCCTTCGGTGGGTGCATCCTTGTAGTTGGCGGGATCTTCAGACAAGAGTTTGACGACGAATTCACGCGTGTTGGGTGCACCAGGCTTGCCCAAGAAACCAATGCAGTCAGTGAATGTGCCACCTCGGTCGATGCAAATGGTAAGTTTGTCAGTGTCGTTGGCCATGTCTCGAAAAGGGGCGGGATAAAGAAGAGGGTGGGGTTATCAAAAAGAGCATTGATATGAATCCAACGTTTAAATGCCGCACATCTTAAGGTTTGGCTCCCACGCAACTTTGCAAGGTAAAATGAACAAACACGGAGCATTATCGCCGTATTTATACAACCGATACGCAATTGTGGATCAACGATCTATCGTCTCTCTTTTACAATATGCTTCGATTCGCCGCTGCCACTACAACTTTTCGCACGCTTATGCAAGCACGAACCCACAGCTGTATCAGGACGATGCCAATAATGACATCACTTGCAAATACAACCTTTTCCCGATTCAACCACACACTCGCTGGTAAGCTCGAACACATACATGTATTCTAGAGGCTGTTGCATGTCCAAACATGATCCATTTCCATAGTCAAGACGAGGTTCACCAAGGATCACGAATGGTTGGTCGTCGATAATCATGGTGTTGCCACCATTGGTATAACCGATTATGCACAAAAGTATGTATCTCAGTCATTATCATGATATGGTACGGCACGATGATGATAGCTAACGATGTATGGCAAGAGCACTCGGGGATGTCGTATTCGTGGAAGTACCCATTATCGGCGACACAGTCAAAAAGAATGGTGATGATGATAACAAGCAAGGCAATCTCACTCTACGCTAACAAATGCTTCGTCGATGATAGATCATATCGGTGCTATCGAATCCGTAAAGGCTGCCAGTGATATTTACACGCCCGTCTCTGGTGATATTTTTCTCGTGAATGAAAAGTTAACCGCTGAACCATCATTGATCAACAAGAGTGCAGAAGTTGAAGGTATTACAAGGTTGCTGTGTCTGATAGGAGGAATGGCTCGCTTATCAAGGTTCTGCTTGTTAGGCTGGTTTGTACAGATAAAGATGTCCAATATCGAGGAAACGGATTCGAAGGATCTTATGGATGAGGATGCCTATGCAGCATACTGCGAGAAGGCTGATAAGGACAATGATGCGTAAACACTAGTAGCTTGTCATTATATGCATTCACAATGAACACAGTACTATGCAACAACAACAACAATGATAGTGATTACTTGATGCCTTTCCTATCCCTTTGTCCCCATTTTCATTGAGCGTTCAATCAGGGCTGTACCTTTTTATTAAAGCAAAATGAGCGTGATCTCAATGTAGCTACTACAATCATAGCGTTATTGATGGTATAATCGATACCATCTCAAACCCACGATGAAGACATGTATTCAATGTTTCTCTCTATGCATAGAATGCGGTGGTATTATGGCAAGCGTCTTTCATTTTTATATACCCATTTTTAAACAACAAGGGATAAACATGATGTGCAAGCATTGATGATTGATATCTTTGAGATTACAAGCCCATTACAAGGTATATTGTTGAGGGAGGGGATGGATACGAGTGCGCTAACATGGAATATTACCGGGTGGGAAAGGAAAGCTCATTGTTCAAATTGGTGTTGAGGATGCTGGTGACATCGTCCACTTTGGAGAGATCTTGTAAAAAGTCTACCAGGTCGCTGAGTTCGGTGTCGTGAGGATCGTTAAACCATGTGGATATAGGAACAGCATTGGCATTGTGGAAGAGGTAACTAGCAGGTGAATTATCCAGGATAATGGCACCAGAGAGATCACGCCCCAACTGGGAAAGGTCCTTTGTCAACCCCAAAAATAAACCATCCTTCGTTATCCTCATGGTCCCAAGAATGATCACAGCAAATCATAACATACCTTGACATAGGTTCCTTTGTAATTGCAACACGCCTCCCTGAATAGCCGATGTTTTACAACCTTGTGTATATCCAACATGTCCAAAACAGGATCTGCATACTATAAATACAAAGAGAGGGTTCCTTAGTAAGAATAAGCGAATGATGGAATGGATCAAATACCTTTGACAAGCTCGCAGTAAAGACCACCACCTCGTATTGCTCACCCATTTTACGCATGAATTCATCCACCCCGGGTCTCTTGAGGACGTAGACATTGTGGTACTGATTTTCAATCTCCACTGGTACAACGAAATCAGGATTCGGAATGATCTAATGCGCATTGACGAGATTGAGTATCGTATCTTTTATCATAAAGAAGCCATCAATACCTTGAATGAACTATGAACCAAAGTCTCATCCAGATCAAGCACTAGGCATTTCCTTCCTTCATCCTCACTATCCATGGGCGGTAACAATCTTACGAGATGGCCTTCTTCGTCCTGTAGTTGCTTGAAACATCAATCATCAAGTCATTGAGAATGGTTCGTGTTATTGCAATACATACATTGGGTGATGATAACGGCGTATTCGATGTTACAGGCGTCTCATTTTCAGTCAACAATACAGGATCAGTATTGATATGAGGTGGTTGTTTCTTTTGTTGTATGCTTGGACGTCGTTGCTGTTTGAAAATGGATGACTTGTCGTCGACCAGGGAACCCGCCGCTCCCGCTGTACAGCAAAGCAATAGTGATAGGAAGCCTGTTTTGGATCCAAACGAAGCCTTGAACGAGCCTGCCTTTGACGACGATGTTGTTCCAGCCGCTGGAGGATGAGGCGATTTGACATGCTCAGGGTCAATACACTTTCTGCCTAACCGCACCCATTGTCAGAGGAGCGCATTGTGCCCGTTCCATTCTGGAGTCATTTACTGCTCTTTTTTCTAGCATCCGATTGCTGTAAAGTATGCTGGCGATCCTTTGAAGAAGACGATGCTTGAATTGTCTGCGTGTAACTCATAACCGTACGAAAGCGAAGAGTAAAAAGAAAGACAAAGAAAGAAAATCACAGCTGCGTCCTCTTGTCCTCGTGTCTCTCTCTCTGTCACCCCCTCCCCGGTACCCACCCACCAGCAGCAGCAGCACCAGCAATGATATTCACATTCGACTCCTCTCCTATTTCAACTTGAGTGTATATAGTCCTCTGTCTTTATTACATGAATAAATCATACACGTGGCTTGAAGCTATTGCGATGCTTGTTGAAAAAGTCCTGGATCGTGGTGCCTGATTGATGTTTCAGAAGCATCTTCATATGAGGAACACACACACTGCCACCTGTTGCATGCACCCAATCAAAGTACTCAATCCATGTTTGGATTTGGATATCTACATAATAAACTTGTTCAGTAAATCAAATGAAGGAAAGGCTCTCTCTCTCTCTCTTTACCTGATGGTGCATTGAATACTCGGGTGGAATAGTCATCGCTATCATCGAGTGGGTCATTGTACATGCGTTGATGCTCTTGTTTGACTCGGGCATCAAACCATATATCCTTGATTAATCCTTGTAAGTAATAAGCCGTATCCATAGATCGCACAGGCTGGTAGATAAATTTAGTGTATCCCGTGCCTCGACTCAAGCAATCCACAAGTTGTTGGCCATTGACAGGCTCTGGTCCTGTGAGCGTGTAGACTTGCCCCACATGTGCATCTTGTAGCATACATCGGATTTGCTTCTTTGATGGTACCAGCAATAAATTTTCAATGGCTGAACATAGATCGGTCACATCCAGTGGGCATATCTCATCCTTGTTGACAAGGGGCAAGGTCATTTTCCTATCGGTCTCAATGCTTCGGCTCCACATATGGAATTGCTGATATAGCCAATCTGGTCTTTAATAGCCCAAAAAGTGTCAGCTCAAGATCTTCCATTGTCCCCTAAATTACCTTACCTTAAAATAACCCAATCACAATTCCTTGTATTAACTACATAGTCTTCAATGGATGCAAAATGCTGAAGATGGGGGTATTCCGTGGCAGTGGCACCCACTTGTGATACGCATACAATCGATTTCACGCCTGAACGATCAGCTACCTTGCATACGTTTTCGGCTATGGCTACTCGATCATGTTCATTGCCCACCGCCAATATGACATGATCAACTCCACGAAATGCTTTTGAGAGGTCGTGAGGATGATAATAGTCAATTTGCCGCACGTCAATGTCCTTATTCAAAAACCCCAAACACAAGTTCTTGTCACGACAAGCTAGCCGAAGTCGTGGTCGTAAACATCGTCGTGATGCAAGATGTGAAGCGATACAATGCCCAACGTATTGATCAGCACTTGTTATGAGAATCATTAATGAAGAAAAAAGATACGTGACTGAAAAGAGAGAGAGAGTTTGGGATGTGGGTTTCTTTTATGCAGCTGTCGTTCGAATGGGTGTTCATGCATGCTGTTGTCGGTTACTCGTTTTCACATTTTACATTTGTCGTTGTTGACACCTTGCAACCATCTTGTTCACCCAACGTGACAGTGAAATGCATCGAGGATTATTGCGTTCTCAACCAGATGTGTTATTCTCACATACAAGCCGCCTCCCTATCGTGTCCATGTGAGCATTGTTTGCAGCGATACACCGGTGGTGGGTGGTTAATACTACGCATTGGAGTGTTGTTGTGCACAAGAATTGATATTGCTCTTGGGCAGCGTGTACTGTTTTTTGTTGTCATGCACTGCGTCTTGATACATCATAATCATAACGTTGAATGGGGAAAGGTAAACGTTTTATGGATTGCTCATGCTCATGGAGTACAATAGTGACAACCGAGGGAGACCGGTGTCGAATGATAATAATCCAATACGGGATGTAGGCAGTTTCCCACAATGTAGTATGCATGAATTTTCAAGGAGACATGCGTCATAGCTTATGTAATGGGTGATTCCAAAAATATGCACATTGCCTTTCCTCCACACAATACCCAAAAAAATATCACACATAACGGTCATTGATCCGTGCTGTACAAAATAATGCACCCACTGTGCTCCGCACGTTGTACAAAAATGGGTCCTTGCTTTCTTTGTGTTACCATGATCGTCTTGTTCGCGATTCGCATGCCGTCAAGGACCGACAGCCTAAAAAATAAAGTGCCAAGCTGATGCAAGATAACGACCATGTTGAAAGGGCAACAATGAAGCCCACATTCACTACAACAATCCATGGCGGTGAGATGAACTTAACATAGCCAACCTGTCTGCTGATGCTGCGCCTTGCTATTGGTTACGTTCGCCTGTCACACCCAAATGCGGAAAGTAAAGGAGGTGCAGCTCGGTTCTTTTTTACCCATTCACAAAGCGTTATTCAAAGTTGTTGTTGTTATCCCATTCAATGACAGCTATTCATTGTTGTGTGCCATTGTATGATACAAAAATAAAGATAGGAGACCTTACAGTGACCTGTGGTCAATGACAATGAGCACGGCAATAGGGTAGATGGCATTGCTGTAAAGAAGTATTGTTGGTTTTGAATCCAGATAAACACTGTTCTGGAACCGATTTCCCAAAAAAACTTTTTCATCTATCGGCTGTGTCATATCAATTATTACCTCTTTCTCCTTTTTCTTTACCCATTTCTCCAAAATGGCTCTCACCACCTCTCGAAAAGCAGTCGACTTTATCACTCTTCATGCACATCCAGAGGCGTTATCTAATGAGCATCCAGCCAATAATGAATGGCTAAAAGTAGAAGCGTTACCAGGGAAAGGTCGTGGATTCGTTGCGAGACGCCATATACCTGCTGGCACAGTTGTATATACAGCTCACCCACTTGCTGTTGCTGTATCTCAAGAATGGATTCCTGAGACGTGTGCATGGTGTTTTGCTTTCTCTTATCCCAAAAGGATGCGTGTTAAATCAACGCATACTAAGGATGTCATGTTTTGCTCACCCGAATGCCAAACTTGCTTTTACCAACAAGGCTATAAGGATGAAGCCGACCTTCTCGTACGTGGTTATCATGCACTGGATCATGTCAAAGAACCAATGGCATCAAGCACAGCTGCTTCCGATCCTCTCGTTGATATCATTCCACCACCACCATCCAAAGATTGTAGCGATACACAACTTGCTGCATGGCTTGATGAAGCATGGTCAACTGTAGCAGCAGCTCCCAGTGACATGAATGCTATGTGGGCTCCCGACCGAGGTGAGCGAACCATGTGTCGGCTGATTACAGCTTGTCTTGCTCGAAAACGGTGTCAAGAGGATTGTTTGTTTTCATCTACCCCTGATATGATTGGCTTTGAACAGCTATGGGAAATGCAATGTAACGAATTGGCTTGTGTAAGAGCCATGCTGCAAACTCAACAACAGGAGGTGCCTACGCAGCTGATAGAAATCATGCATCTTTATCTTTACTTGTCTTCCGCTGTTGCTGGAATCCTTGATTGCCCACATGCCCTTTTCAGAGCTATCTACTTTCGTGAAGCCGCCAACAGTTTTGGTCTTTGGGAAATGCCTCATGGGAATCAACAAGCACAGATGATGGATCAAGGCGTCACCGATGATCAAGAGCTCCTAGGATGGGGTATTTATCCATCGGCTGTCTATTTCAACCATGCATGCAATGCCAATATCGTCAAAATACGTGATGGTCGGAGTATGCGTTTTATCGCAAAAACAGACATTCCACTTGGTCAAGAAGCGTGTATTTCTTATGGATCTGTAGGAGAGGCAGTGGATGAACGAAGAGCCAGATTGTTAGAGCACTATCATTTTTGGTGCGAATGCATACGTTGTAAAACCGAGTCATCATCATCATCATAACCTTCTTTATCATATACCAACATTGTTTAGAATGACATTAATGTGTAATTATCTCCCCCTTTGTATCCCCTTGATAACATGATAAAACCATGCATATAGCCTGATCGACTTCTCTTCCACACATAGCCAAAGACATAGATGCAAAAAGTATTTAATGATGTATACCATAGCAATGATGAATCAAATGTACAAGTTGAGATGTTCTTTTTAAAGTTAATCTTGATGAAGGCTCTTGACCACAGGTTTTTGTCGTTTAGGAAGACCACCACCGGATTGATTCCATGAGAGATAAGTTGTATCACCCAGGGCACTAGGATCAATAATGTCAATAAGGTACACATGATATAGCACAATCCAATCACAACATACCGTGGCTTGATGCAATGTTTGAGCGTAAAGATGAAACCAAGTAATAAACAAATGCCACCGATTGCCATGTATGTGATGCCCAGATATGGATTACGGCCACCCAAAGGAGAAGTTGTCGAAAGTACCAGCCACTTTGTGCCACCATAGAGTGTTGTATCAAAATCTACGGATGATCATCGTCATCAGGATGAATAACACTGATCCTGTTGTCTCCTATTGTACTTACTCATATCAATTTGGATACGCCATCGACCAGGTTGGAGAACGTCATTGTCATTTCGACCCCAAATCTTTCTGAAATCAGGTAATGCAGCCACACGCATCCAGACCATAAATGATTCATCATGAGATAGATCGGGTGGTGGATATTCATCAGTGTACGATCCATTAGGATATCTTGATGCCCAATTTGGAGGAGGTGCTACGCTGGAAGGAGCATACTGTGTTGGAGCATACTTGTCCTTATCGGTTGGCCAAGCAATACCAGATGTTGTGAATTCAAAAGTAGTAGCGGATGCTGCATTGACAGACGTGAGATTCGATCGGGTATCTACGTATTATCCTTTATGAGATCTCTTTTGTTTCCATGGCAACCCTTATCCCCTCCCAATATGTATACATACCATTGAACATTGAATTTGCGATTAATCCACAAGGGTATATACCCAAACCAGTATCAGTCGTTCTCAAGGAACCACAATTTCCGCTTGGAGAAACGGGGTTGCCAAGTAGTTGAGCGGAGTCAAAGCTGTTAATGTATTGCCTGTGGTTTTGGTAAAAGTCGGTCAAGCGATAATACATGAAAACGGGTCCTTGCATTGGCTCTGGTACTGTGAAGTCGATGATGCATTGCTGAATATTGAGGCTGTTTGGATTCTGCCAAGAGGGAGCGGTAAAGGTAGTCGAGTTCTCATAATGATAAGCAGGTGGTTCAATCGTATCGCTCGAAATGTCTTTTGATGCAAGCATGGTGTATTGATGTTTTGCCAAATAAACCGGTGTCTCGTAACGTAAACAATGCGTGTAGTCTATCTTGATTTCGGTAATCTATATCATGATGCGTGTATGTGTGTGTGTCAAGGTTAGCTTCAGGACGACTCCAATACGAGGTGCCATACGTACACGACTATTGGACCAATACAACAAGCCGCCAATCGGTGTAAATATGATGCCAATGACAAAGAATGTGGGAAGAGCTGTACGAGGTGTCAAGACTGGTTGCCATGCTGGAAGACGTTGTTGTCGAAAGGCACCATCTACAATAAAGTTGTCCAAGTTAATGTTGTTTCATATACGCATTGAAGAGAAGGCAACGTTACCTGTTGGCTTTCTACTTTTCTTTTTGTCCAATTCCTCCGTTTCTGACATTGGCTTGTCGAGATTGTGTACAATACGAGAACAAGAAGAAGAAAGAGCGCGCTAAGCCCGAGAGAACCAAGAGTAGAAAGGGCTGAAATAAATCACGTGGGCGATCGGCATTGCTGGGTGGTCGGCATAGAAGAACAAGAAGAACGAGTTGAAATTATCGACTCTTGGCATTTATTTATACCTTTATAATACGCAGATGTTGTAAAATGAAGATAAAGATAGTACACTTGGGGGTGTAACTTATTGATGGATACGCATCCATGACTCTAGGCATGATTCTTGTGCGTTAGATTGCCGCTGCAGGGATCCCAGAACCCGCTTTCTATCTTTGGTTTAGCTTCACGCTGATTTATTTGCAAGATTTGTCCCCATTGGCCCTGTCCCTTTGATGCATGATAGACAAAGTTGTGATGAATACAATCATCCACTTGTTAATCCCCCTCCTCCTTTTCCTTCCCTCTTTCTCATCATGCGAAACATTCACACACACGATCTGACTGATGCTGCTATACAATCATTTCTCAGTAATCAATATGGACAAAGCATCAAGCCATCAGCACGCGATTTTGAAAGGGCCATCTTTACTCAACCAAACATCGTCCAATGTTGTAAAGAGAATCACGAAAAACAAACCGTGGAGCATGTTTTAGCCATGAAGAAAAAATACGGGAGATTGGACAAGGCTTGGATGGGAATTTGGGACGCACTCGAGATTATGGATGGGCTTTTTGATATGTCAGACCCTGATGTCAAGACTTCACAAGCAATCCATGCGTTTCAGACGGCTGAAGCAGTACGACGTGATGGTCAACCACGATGGCTCATTCTCACGGCTTTGATACATGATCTCGGGAAACTTTTGTATTTTTTGGGCGAGCCACAGTGGACGGTAAGTGCAACGCATCCCCTTATTGTCCCATCCACTCATTTGGTTTTGACAAAAGGTTTGCTGTGATACTTATCCAGTGGGTTGCAAGTTTTCCCGGAAGATCGTGTACCACGAATTCTTTTGCAACAATCCTGATTTCTATGACCCCGTTTACTCGACACAATATGGCATCTATACACCTCAATGTGGTCTCGACAATGTACACATGAGCTATGGCCATGACGAATACATGTATAGAGTATGCAAAAAGTACCTGCCGCCAGAGGCTCTTGCTATCATTCGCTATCACTCGTTTTATGCTTGTCACACAGATGCTGAGTACGACTGGCTCCTCAACGATCACGACCGAAAAATGATGCCATGGGTCAAGGCTTTCACACGCTATGATCGCTGCTCAATGAGTGTTGAAGAGATACCGGATATCCAAACTTTAAGGCCGTACTATGAAGAATTGATTGCAGAGTACTTTCCTCCAAAGATAAGGTGGTGACCTTTACTTTACGCTTCCCATTGCTATTGTACGATAATACCCTCATCCTTATAAACGATACGTTGCTATCATGTTTAGATAATAGAACTAGCGGCTGGGGTACTCCCCTCGCTCGTAACCTTTTGACTTATGCTCCCTTCCATTTATCGACTCTTCTACGTTTGGATGCTCCCATTCAAAAATTTCATTATGAAGCGTGGGGTCTTTATGAGAACAAAGTTGATCAGCATGTTCAAGAGCAGGAATCACTCATAATCAATCATAGAGTAGTTTTAGTGTGCATTGGATTTCTAGGGCATTGTCAGTATTCAATGTCCACTCCTTCCACTCCCACAACCTCTTGTCTCTTGCTCCCATTCTCAACTGTTGCCCCATTCAAGTATACAACTACAACCTGCAAACGAATGTCCTGCTTCAACCCATCATGTCCATCCTACAACTCTCTTGATCTGATTGCCTATGGCTGAATGGCGTGTCGATGGCGTGTGCACCCCACTACAACGCCCGCGTTTCTTGACACTTCACCTTCTCTTATACAATCCTCGACCACCACCAACGTAACAGCATTCATTCCAGCAATTGCTATTAGCAAGGCCTTGACTCCATTGTCTCCAACAGCGTTCTTTACTTGCAGCAACTTGCCTGACAGCCTTGTTCACGGGGACAGCAGATAGTCATTATATAGAAGCAGCTTTATTTACGTGTAGCAACTTTGTTCAATACATACGACTCTTGTGGATATGGACATGGATATTGGTTTGGTGTATGGGATGGAAGGAATGGATCTATTGACCGGTTTGATTCCTTTGACCCATTTGGAACGTGCTGTGTAGTTTGTATGAAGCCATATCAGCCATCAATGAAAGCAATCTTCACTGGTTGAGCTGCAATCGAACATGATCAACAAAGAGAGAGTGGCCAAGGATGGGATGGAAAAGGAAGCATATCAACAGCAATCACTCGGGCTCCTTTCTACCAACATGCTGGATTTGGATTGGTGATGGTGGATGGATGTATGCAAATGGGAATCATGGTGATTACTTGTCGCGTTGTCAGCAGGGATGGATCATATCATGTGGATACGGTTGAAGATGATGATGGATGGGATGGAATTGACGCATACCTAGTCGGCCTCTTTGTGCTTTTTGGGTATTGAAGTTGGTGACGATGAGATTGACGACTGCTGACTAGTACGAGTACGAGTACGAGTACGAAAGATGATGGAGGACGAAGACGAGAATGGTGGCAATGTAGCTAAATGGAATAAAGCACTATTTATTTATTACACACTTGGACTTTGCTAGCTTGTGGATTACATAATGTAGCTTGGAAGATGGAATAATAAAGGTGGTTCGCTTATGTATCGTTCATGCAAGAAGTATATGCCTTTTGTGATACAATAAGGAGGAGTAGGATGACCTTGAGAAGAGAAAAAGTGAACCATCAATAACATCTTACTGCCATGTCCGTGCGTACTGAATAATTCATTACGTATTGGGTTTACATGTACAAATTGGTTTATGCAGCTCGACTTTTTTCTACATGCAAATGTGATGCATACCTTGACACACCTTCATGGTTGGATGCTGTTTTACTTACGTACCTTCACAAAAGGCAATCATCATCATCATCCATTTGTGTAGCAACCTGTCAAGGACGCGTTTGTGTAACCACCACGTGCCGTTTCACTCAGCTCTTCATCTTTCCGTTAATGCAGCCGACACCATCCACTAGGAAAAAGCAACTCCATCACGCTTACAGCATAGGTAAAACATAAAGGTGCCTGTATCTCCAAACTTTACAATGAAATGTGGAGTCTTTATTAGAGCAATGTGCTCGGCTTGGCCAACAGCACCTTGTGTGAAAGTTTCGCGTTCAATGTCGCAAACAGCCCAAAAAATATTTTTTGGTCGTCATCGTCGAAGAGGTCGACCCCCGGATCCAGTTTGGCTGGTGGCGACATTGCGAAATCTGGGATTGGCCACGATGAACGTGAAACTTTCACACAAGGTGCTGTTGACCAAGCCGAGCACATTGCTCTATTCAAAACCCCACGTTTGATTGTAAAGTTTAAAGATACAGGCACCTTTATGTTTGTAAGCGTGATGCTATATGAGAAGTGGTCTTTGTTCATTGCCAAGTAGCTAGACCTTGGAGAGCCAAAGATGCAGAAGGACCTCTTTGGGTAACTCAGCTAAAAAGTCAGGACTTCAGGGACAATGCATGAAAGGTACACAACCCTCACTTTTATGTTATACATTGGCAGGTAATAGCCACTTTTGTGCATTCCTAACTTTTGTGCATTCTATTGTAGGTGGACGATGCTCCTGCTCTAGACATTCATTTCCATGATTAAAGTAGGTTGATCCGAGCTGATTTGGTTGAGTTACGCTCACACAAGATTACATCGGTTGAGCTACATCGAGCGTGCTTGATGTCCAGAGTGATGTAATCTCTCTTTGACCGCAGCTCAGTCAAATCAGCTCGGATCAACCTACTTTAATCATGGAAATGAATGTCTGGAGCAGGGGCATCGTTCCCATGCAGTGGATCTCGCAACAATGATGATTGTATAAAAGTGGCTGTTAGCTAGCAATACATGCCTGTTCCTAGATGATCCATAACGTAATTATACATTGACCCTTTCATTCATGCAAACGTAGCTGTGTTACACAACACGACCCTCTGCATCTTTTGCTCTGCCAGGGTCCAGCTACTTGACAATGAACAAAGACCACTCTTCTTATAGCATCACACTTACAAACATAAAGGTGCCTGTATCTCCAAACTTTACAATGCAACGTGGGGTTTTGAATAGAGCAATGGGCTCGGCTTGGCCAACAGCACCTCGTGTGAAAGTTTCACGTTCAATGTCGCAACTAGCCCAAAAAATATTTTTTGGTCGTCGTCGTCGAAGAGGTCGACCTCCAGATCCAGTTTGGCTGGTAGCGACATTGCGAAATCTGGGATTGCCCACGATGAACTTCATACTTTGACACAAGATTCCTTTGACCCCGACGAGCACGTTGATCTATTAAAGAGCCCACGTTTGATTGTAAAGTTTGGAGATACAGGCATCTTTATGTTTTACATATGCTGTAAGGGTGATGCTATATGAGAAGTGGTCTTTGTTACTTTCAATCGCCTCACTCATGCTAGAGCCAAAGATGCAGAAGGACTTCTTTGTGTAACACAGCCAGAAGTCAGTACCTGTGGAATGCATGATACTTGTACAGCATTCAGGAAGAGTTGATAAAATGCCAGCTAACAGCCCATTCCTCCCATTCACCTTTGTTGCCCAAAAACAATGCATACGAACGATTGTCCTGCTCCAGCCCAGCATGCCCATCATTCAACTTTCTTGATCCGAGAGGATTTGGTTGAGTTACGCTCACACACAGAAACATCATCCAATATCAGAAGAATCAAATTGATTAGTTATACGTAAACTGCCACTTGATAGCCCGTTCCTCCCAATCATCTTTGTTTCTCAATCCAATGCATGTGAACGATTGTCCTGCTCCAGCCCATCATCCCCATCTTTCAACTTGCATGGTCCGAGATGATTTGAATGAGCAACGCTCAAACAAAGAAATAGCATTCAAGATCAGTTCAACCTACTTTTAATTTTCAACTCTTCCACTCCCGCAACTTCTTGTCTCTTTCTCCCATTCTCAACTGCTGGCCCATTCAAGTATACAACTACCACCTGCGAACGATTGTCTTGCTTCAACCCATCATGTCAATCCTACGAATGTCTTGATCCGATTGTCTTTGACTGAATGGCAAGTCCATGGCGTGTACGCAGCCTTCTTGTCACTCTTCTACAACACACGAGTGTCTTGACACAACACACGCTCTTGCACACTCCTCTACCACGGCCAATCGCAACAGCATCCATTCCGGCAATGGCCATCAGCGAATCATTTACTCCATCGTCTCAAGCAGTGTTCTTCCTTGCAGCAACTTGCCTGACAGTCTTGTCACGTGGATAGCAGATAGCCATTATATACAAGCAGCTTTATTTACGTGTAGCAATTTGCTTTAATACATACGACTTATGGATATGGATGTGGATATGGATGTAGATTCGGATATGGATGTGGATGTGGGTATGGATATGGGTGTGGGTGCATGGGATGGGAAAGATCTAGACATATACAATGCGTGGCAAACGAACCGTTTTTCATTGATGCTACGATGCCGAACGATTGCTGCACCCGATTATCGTGCTTTGACACGCTCTTCTATGACAGCTACTAACATCATCCTTTGATCGTATTCTCATTATCGTTTGTGTGACAGCAAATGACAAATTGGATGATACATTTTATGGATTTGTGTATGTACTACTACTACTAATAAGATATTACAACTTGTAATCCTCTAGAATAAAACGAGAAAGAAAAGGGGTATTTGGATCAAGGCTGCGAGGCACGATGGACAGCGCCGTATTTGCTACTTCCTTGTTCATCAGACGGCATGCTTTCATTGTCGTCGCCTGGAAGATCATTCATTACTACATATTCAGCAACCGATATTGATCATGCCATTATGATTCACACACGTACCTGAACTTCTATCTTTGGTAGCCTCTGGCAACATGATGTTATGGCGAAGCAGCCACCATAGCAAAATGACAAGTGGGATCGAAAAAAAGCTCATTCCCATATTGGTCAGCTTACCAGTATCTATCAAGTATCCGATTCAGCGTCATCATCATTACGATCCTTTTCAACCTTTTACTTACAGAAAGCTGGCGAATCAGTGACCACCCATGCGCGTACGTTGATAAAGTTAGGTGCAAGCATCCCTATGCTGTTGATAAATCCGATAGCCAATGCCCGTGTATTATGATCAGCCTTGAAAATATGATTAACGCCAACGAGGGATAAGGTAGTAGTGACAAAACTTGGAGCAACAGCATAGGTACCAACAAATGCTAAAGGTGCTGGATTATTGCCGTGATTGACAAGTGCCATGGCCAAGTACCATCCACCCACCCAAAGTTGCAATACAATCAGGTGCACAATATAGTCGCCGTGTCTGTCAGAGCTCCACCCAATCAGCATACCAACAATGCCTGCAAACACGTATGCCGGTGTTGTCATGTAATTGGAAAATGCAGGATCATACCCCATATCACGTAAAATGATGGCAAAGTTGACGTAGATTGTATTGCCAATAAATGCACAAGCGAAAATGAGCATTGCAACCCAAGCATAAGGTGTGGCTAACACGTTCCATAGACTAGTAGTAATAGTGACATGAGTATGGCTCATTCCCTCTCTCTCTCTCTCTCTCTCCTCTCTCTCTCTCTCTCTCTCTCTCTCTCTCTCTCTCTCTCTCTCTCTCTCTCTCTCTCCTTTGTATGTGCCAACCAATGTACTTACATTTTCCAGCTGTATGGTTTGGGTTTGATACTCTTGCCTTGAGCAGCTTGTCGTGCTACAGCCAACTCCCGTTCTTCTTGAGAAAGCCATGACGTGTTGTGTGGATAGCTGGGAAGTAAAAAGTATCCTGACAACCCAATGACCACAGCCATAAGACCTTCAATGATAAACAACCATTGCCATCCTCGAAGACCTGCAGTATTTTGCATGTTTTGGGCGATAGCACCTCCCATCATGCCACCAAAAGCACCAGCAAAAGTGACTTCCAACATCGACCAGCGTTTGCCGTTTGCTCAATTCCTCCTTTTGTATACCATGTTCCGGAAGGATGAAGACAATGCATGGTCTCTCTCTCTCTCTCTCTCTCTCTCTCTCTCTCTCTCTCTCCTTTGTATGTGCCAACCAATGTACTTACATTTTCCAGCTGTATGGTTTGGGTTTGATACTCTTGCCTTGAGCAGCTTGTCGTGCTACAGCCAACTCCCGTTCTTCTTGAGAAAGCCATGACGTGTTGTGTGGATAGCTGGGAAGTAAAAAGTATCCTGACAACCCAATGACCACAGCCATAAGACCTTCAATGATAAACAACCATTGCCATCCTCGAAGACCTGCAGTATTTTGCATGTTTTGGGCGATAGCACCTCCCATCATGCCACCAAAAGCACCAGCAAAAGGACTTCCAACATCGACCAGCGTTTGCCGTTTGCTCAATTCCTCCTTTGTATACCATGTTCCAAGGATGAAGACAATGCATGGATAAAGGGTCTGGACATTCTATATCAGCACATGCATACATTCCATGCATGGATCGTACATGACCACTTACTGCTTCAGCAACACCAAGGCAAAATCGAAGCGCTAATAATCCTTTATGATCCTTGACGATAGACATAAAGCAAAGAACGGCACCCCAAATAATGACACAAGTAGGCAAAAAGATACGAGGGGGGAATTTCGTAATGATCATGTTGGCTGGGATTTGCGTTCTGCATATTGAGATTTGTTTGTGAGACCTTACTTGGCGATTGAAAAAGGGGAATTTGTTGCCACTTACATCACATAGCCAATAAAGAACATGGTTACTGCCCAGTTGTAGACCGATGAATTGAGGTTGAGATCTTTTTCCATTCCATTGGTATAAGCATTTTCTAGATGAGATCATCATCATGGTTAATGATTGTTTGCTTGTGCTTCGATTTGTGATAACATCAACAACATACGCATGTTGTTGCGATCCAGCATGTTGATGAAGGATGCAAGGAAAGACCACACCATCAATCTCAAGTCCACTTTGCGCTTTAACTTGCGTTCCTTTATGGGATCGATCACCACCGATGGCTTAAGGATGATCTCTTCGGCTGATTCTACTACAGCGGTGGTGTCAGGTTGTTTGTCTTTCGGAAGCATGTTGTATGGAATAACCGAAAGATGGGAGTCGCAGCCTCATTTTTTTTCTACCTTTTTAACCTGAAAGAGAAGGGGGAGGGAAAGAGAGTTAACGTGGTACGAGATAAACAAAACAGGGCACTCACGCATCATCACATCTTTTGCAGAATTATCATTTTTCCCACCGGATCAGCATGCATCCTCCACGCTATTGTAAATGTATGCACTAATGGCACTTCCCCCTTGAGAAAGCTTGATAGCGTATACGTGTAAGTGATAAAACATGAACGAGGAGTACATAGGATCTGCAAGGAGAAGTAATAGAGTGGGTGGGTGTGGGGCGTGCACAATGAACGTACCTGGATAAGCTCACTGATGCTATCTCACATGATCGCCCGGTGCCGTTAGTGACATACTGATTTAGACAAGTCGTCCGATATCGATCCACAGGCAAAACCTTGTGTGCTGCTACAGCAAAAGGAGAGAGAGAAAAATTAAAGTAATCTAATCCAGATCCAATAAACGCCATCATGCATAATATGGAGCCCCACTTTTTTATTCTCCAATGATGAAAACATTTGTCGTGAACGAGGCATGGTTGGGTCGATCGTCAGTCGCTTGGGTATATTACACAATGTGGTATGAGACCTTGTACAACTCAACGTATAACACTCATCGTCATCGTCTGGTGGGGTATAGATCATTACTATCAAGCCCACAACAATACCTCCCTTAGAATGAATTCCTCTCTCTCTCTCTCTCTCTTTCCCCATCCATTATGTGACTTTCAGGGTCCTTATGCGTCGACCTTTTCCCATCCCATTTGTCATGTCAACAATCATGACCGAACATGCTGTTGTAAAATATTCTTTGTATTGATAACTTTTGCTGCTAATGCATTTTCTGTTTTACATGCGAGGTATTACAGGTTGACGGTTCGGTGAGTTTGTGTTTGTGTGTGTTGTATACGTTTAAAGATGATGCATGGATGTGTGTTGTTGTAAATGATGGGTGTGTGCGTTGTGCTTGGCTGTCGGGAAAGATTGAATGTAACGTTGTCTAAGCGACCATCTTTTTTTGTTGTTGCTTGATGTTGCCATAGCAATGACTGCACAAATGATGGAGCAACTTGTAGTTGCCACATGCTGGACATGCGGTGACGTTTTCCTTGTTTTGCAAGCCCTTGTTGGAGGCACGCATACGTTTCTTGGAATGGGAAGTCTTCTTTTTGGGTGCTGCCCACAGGAACGGTTCAAGCCAAATGGGAAGTTTGAATGTGCTGGAGACGGCAATGGCACCGAATGCTGGTGATTGAGTCAATGAAGGAAGAGCCAATTGATGAGCGAAACGAGCAAGGGCCATGGTGGTGAACAATGTCAAAGGGTGTGTGTGTGTGCGTGTGTTGAAAAGAGTTTTGTTTTCCAAACGAGATAACCCAGCTTCTCCCCCATCATCATTGCCAAGTCACGGGAAGCCCGCTGATGTGACATTGCATGATCCTTTAATGCAAAATGACATCGTTTGCCCCATACTCATATACCCATTGGTATTTTGCACTTGAAGGATAGTATCACTCATTGACAGCTGATGTGATGGCCGTGCACCAGCATCTCAAAACTGCTGACCCCCGATGATACAAGCACATCGTTGATCAACAGGTAACCCAGCAACATCATGTTTCATTGTAAATGTATTTATAAATCAATGCTCATTGTTTCTCGCCTACTATCTACACCATTTACAATACATCAACAATGCTCAATCAGCTCCCAAATGAGATTCTCCATGAGATCTTTGTACGACTTTTATCTCCCAAGGACTACTTTCATTTATCAACCACTTGTCGTAACATGTATCTAGTTGGCTCCAGCCGTCATTGCCAGATACAATTCTTGTTGTCCTATTTTGGTGATGATGACTCTTTGCAACCTTGGCTCAGCGTGTGCTGTGAGATGATAGCAGCATCCAACATCAAACCTATCGATCGCAACCTCCTTGCAACTGCATCCAATATTGATTCCCAAATCTTTTGCGACTATTTTGCACAACAAAGCGACAAGGCCATTCAGCGTACCTTATTGGATCTCTTTCGTTATGGCTCTGAAGATGGTTATTGGAAAGTACCCTCGTTTGCATGTGATCAAGACGCTATGCTACTATGTGCCAAAAGCCAAGTGCGGCATATTACTCAAACCGGTGTTCGTCGAGTGTTCCATGATGTGACATTGGTCGAAGAGGATGACTCCCTGCAACATTATTATTGCGTGTTCCATCTTATTGATACATTCGTGACATTCAAGGAGGAAGAACATGGATACATAATGAGACAGGGACACGTCATCTATAAGGATGAAGAAGATATACGTGACACGACTGCATGGTCCAAGCTATTTAAATCGGTGAGGATAGCAAAACAGCAAAACGGCATGTACCCTACGCAAGGGCCACCCAAGCTGCAGCATCGTTACCATGCATCTTCTCTTGCTCCCAATCACTGGCAACCTTGTATACTAAGAAACTATATGCAATGCCGTTTGACTATGACAATGAACAAAACTTCCTTGGCTGCTGGTGACTATGTCGATCATATTGAGATGAGTGAGCATCGAGAAAGCGACATGATTCGACTTGCTTTTTACGATGCAAACACAAATATCCGTGGGTATCTCCTTTTGAGTGAAGATGGTGTTCTCTGGTGGGACTGAGTACCAAATATCTACGCAACGCGTAAAGTGATAAATCTTTTTCTTCTCCCTCTTCTCTCATCCCCCTCCCTCAACTACAAGCGTGTTGTTTTTTGTGGAAAAAAATAAAAGTTGGTTTATTTGAAATGCCCCTTGAGGAAAAGGATGGCAGAGTTTAGAATCAGATGGCAAGTAAGGACACCTTGAGGCTTTTTGTAGTTTCAGAAGAGCAAGAAGGCATGGATCTTGAACCGACGTTAAACAATAGAGATCACGAAGGGGACCTCACACGCGCGCACGCCGCTGACGGATAAAGAAGGAGGTCCCCAAGGTAGAGCGGGCGACGTGCTTCATATTATGAGGTACCCAGTAGATGGTCACAAACAAAGAATGAATCTTTATTGTGACAAAGAGAAAAGAAAAGGAAAGAAAAGGGCGCAACCCTTTATAAGAGGACTTTTTTCTTTGGATAACAGATGACGGGAATTGTGACCCTTTCTGAATAGATTGATCAAGAGCTTTCCATCTTGCCAAAATGGTTGTTCCCTTGCATTTTGTTGGAACACAAACACGTATAATAACATCCGCCATTGATTTCTGTGGGCGCATGTAGTAAGTTTGTTGCCTTTTATGCCGGATCAGTTTTCCGAGATGCATGTGCACAGTGACTTTTTAACCTTGATTGGCACCCGAAATTTCGGTACCAGTCAAGTACCCCAAATTATGTGGTACTTTCTCAGTCAAACTCAGTTTCCAGCTACACAAGCTGACAACCCCCCCCAATGGCATACACACACACACATTTTCTTTGGAAAACAACATGTCACATAGATAAATTTTGCTACCTTCATTATAGAACCTTCTATAGTACCATTTGTTGATCTTTGGGGACAATCAATTGCTAGAATGAAAAAAGGGGATGATGGTGATGAATAACTAAGTTTTCCTTCCACTTTTTCCTTTTCTACCATGCTTACCTTGTAATCCTTAATGGTGCCAGCAAACTTCTTGAGCAAACCATCCTCACAGATCCAAATCTCATTGCATACGCTGTTGATAAAGCGTTCATCGTGAGAAACAGTAATGACACCACCACTGAAACGTTCCAATGCACCCTGCAACGCGTCAATAGATTCCATATCCAAATGGTTGGTAGGCTAAGAGAGAGAGAGAGGATAATGTTAGCTCATTATACGTATAAATACACACACACACTTGTTTTAAATAACTCACTTCGTCCAAAACCAAAATGTGAGGGCGTTGCAAGCTGAGACATGCAAAAGCAACACGCGATTTTTGACCACCTGACAAGGTCTTCATGACTTGCAGACCAACCATACCAGTGATACCAAAAGCACCAAGATGACGTCTGTATTCTTCCTCACTCTTTCCAGGATATTGATCCGCCATAAATCCAACAGCGCTCTTGGTGAGATCCAATTGATCGATATGATGCTGAGTAAAGTAAGCGATACGAAGACGACCATTGCGATGCACCTCACCGGTGTTGGGCGAAAGTTGTCCAATCAATAGCTTGAGAAGTGTTGATTTACCGGCACCGTTAGGACCCACCACGGCGATACGCGAGTCGAGTCGTACATCCAAATTGATATCCTTGATGATCACCTTTTTCTTTGGATCATAACCAAAGAGACAGTCGTTCATTTGTAGCACGGGTGGAGAGATAGCATCTGGATCAGGGAAGGAGAAGGTGACCTCCTTTTCGCTAGTAGGTGGCTCCAACACAGGCAATTTCTCCAAAATCTTGATACGCGATTGAGCTTGGGGTGCACGCTTTGCATTGTATCTCCAACGATCGATGAAATCTTGCAAATGCTTTCGGTATTCCATTTGTGCTTCATACTCGCGGATTTGGTTGCGTACTCGTTCCTCTTTGGTGGCATGGAATTGTGTAAAGTTGCCCTTGTAGTAATCAAGCTTTTCAGAATGCATGTATAAAATATCGGTTGCAACCTCGTCCAAGAATTCTATGTAAGAGCTTATTAGAGCCCCTGTAGCAGGTGTCAAAGACATGTATACACGTACCTCTGTCGTGAGAAACCACCATCAATGTGTTTGGCCACTTTTGCAAATATTGTTCAAGCCATACAATGGCAGGGATCTACACAAAAAGAGGAGAGCTCATTCAGCCACACTTGTTGATAGCAAAGATCGCGTACACTTACATCCAACATGTTATCCGGTTCATCAAGCATGAGCACATCGGGTTTACAGAAGAGAGCACGTGCCAAAGAAATACGCATACGCCAACCACCTGAGAACTCTCGTGTTGCGCGATGTTGATCTTTTTCTGGGAAACCAAGACCTGACAAGATAGCTGCAGCCCTAAAAGTGTTACAAAAATCCCAATCAATATCCAAATGAAAAAAGAGCCTCCTTATCTTACTTACCGTGCAGGAGCCTTTTCACTCTCAATATCCTCAAGTTTGCTAAAGACCTCCTTGAGCTCTGTGTTCAGGCTATCCTTTTGGCCATTGATCTTGTTCTTTTCATCCTCGGATAACTCTTCATCCTCATCAAGTTGTGCATCCAATTGGCTGATACGGCCGGTCAAATCACGTTCCTTTTCCAACAAGTGCTCACGCCAGACATCTGCTCGCAACACCATTTCAATGGCTGGGGTATCATCACCAACAACCTAACATGTAAATGTAAGAATGGATCATCCTCCTCCACACATAGCAATACCAAAAATACATACTTCTTGTTCCACATAAAGCACCGAAATGTGATGAGGCACGCTCACTTCACGACGAGCAATGGCACGCAACAAGGTAGATTTACCAATACCATTCTTGCCCACGACACCATAACGACGACCAAAGGCAACAGTGAGATTGGCATCGGTAAGGATACGACGACCCGCGAATGAGATATCAAAGTTCTCAATCTTGATATCCTTGATCTTGCCCTTGGTGGAGGTGTAATCGAGAATAGGATTATACAACTTGTACTCTTCTTGAAGTGCTTTTTGCTCATTGATCAACTTGGATGCTTCATACTCGACACGTTGATTGGTCTTTTGCTGACGCTTGGCCATCTTGGCAGCAATCTTGGCTTCAGCCTTACGCAACTTGTCTTGATCCACTTGCGACTGAACGCGTTTGCCAGATAAATGGTCCAGTTCCACACCACTTGCTCCCAAACGTGCTGTAGCAGAGACACCAGATTGGCTACCGATCGTGATAGCCTGTTCCAATTTGCGAGTTGCTGATGCATTCTTCTCGGCAGCTGCACGATGAGTGTCGAAAAGCTTGGTGAGTTCAGCACACAATGCCGTGATACGATCCTCCTTGCCACCCGCATCGATCAACAAGGGCTTAACAAAGTCGTCAATGGCGTCCTCATTCTCGTCGTCAAAGTCGTTTTCTTTCAAATAGCCGTCGAGATAGTCGATAATGGCGTCGTCCACATCGGGAGCTGCTTTGCGAATGAGAGTGGCTGCCATGGTGTGCCGATCAAAAGGTGTAAAGGTGCTGCTGCGACACTACTACCACAACGAAATCTTTTTGAGCCCGGTCCTTCAATGCCTCATGTGTGACCTGGTTGACACAAAGAATCGCATCCATCCACATAGTGAATGCTTGTACCCTTTATCTACCCTCCTACTTCTCTCATCGCTATGATAAATAAATCTGCAATTGGTCTAACAGATGATGAGAAGTGTCATTTTAAGCGATGACTGCTACGTCTATCAAAGATGATGATGTTGGTCATAGCTCAATGGAACAAAAAGAGGCTATGTATTCATCCAACCTAAAACTTGATAAAAGTAGGCGATTCCCAATACGTTTGGGGTAGCTGACATCCTTAAGAAGCAGGCTCGATGTAGTGTGTTACTGTATGCCTTGTATTTTTCATCCATTCAATCACGCAGAATATACCAAGAGTACCTTGCTAGTGTATGATGTTGGGGGAATACAACGAATTCCTGACTATCAAAAGTGTCATTTTATGTGTGTGTGCGAAGGTGTAGTAGAAAATCAGCCTCGCGCGAAAATACTACGTGTTGATCTTCAAAAGTAATATCAGGATTTGGGCATGGATTGCCACACACGCGTACCCGTTTATCCCCAAGATTGAAGAGAGATTTGCATGATTGTTGACGATATGCATGCATAAGAGGGATGATTGTGGCACAGGATGGCGTGTACTATGTCTTAGCTGCGATACTCTTGGGTTGCAATGTATACGAGAAAGGAAGATGGAAGAACAGCCAACAAAGTATTCTTCAAATCGATCGGCAATCGCTATATTTATGTAACCATTTCATTCGTTCGCTGATTCCAGTGGTTGGGGGAGGCGTGGGGGAGAGATTGAATAATCAGCTTTTATCGTCGGATGGGGTTTAGTGCTTCCAACAACAACGATCCGATCGGCAAACATGCTATTATTATTATTATTATTGTTGTTGTTGTTGCTGCAAGATCGGGAAGCATAATATGCTTTTGTTGTTTGCATCATGACAAGTATTGACACTTGGGTGGAATTACACACCAACACACCATGCATCCACATGCAGGAAATACTTGTTGTTATGTACCAGCATGCGTCCCTGAAGGACATGGACAACACCGTTTTATGCATATGGAAAAGTGTGCCCTGATTGATTACGTGGATTTGTGCAGCATCGTTTCTTTTTTGTAAAGAGGCTGAAAAAAAGACAATCATATGTCAAAAGGCAAAAGCAAAGAGAGAAGGTCCCACCAACTGGGAGCGTTATGCACAATGTCGATCATTACTGTTACACAATTCTTTGATTCGGCGACCAAGACAAATAAACGTGGTCCATAACTGCGATTTCGCCATTCGAATTCGTGGCATCATCGTTAGTATCTTTGAATTGATAAGGGTTAAAACCAGGATGATACGATGGATTTACAAGGGCTCGAGGAGACATGTGTGGAGAAGGAGAAAGAGGAGGGTTATGTAGGAGGTGTGTGTGTATGTGGATTGTAAGCATTATCCTTCCTCACTCACACACAACATGTGGATGGAAGAAATCATTTTGGTGATACATTGAGCAACCAAGACAACGATGGATTGTCCCAAAAAGCATGTAAAAGGCGTCAACTAAACCCGAACAAGTAATGTTCTGCAACGGGAGACATCATCGTCATTGTGTGTTCCAGTAAATGGGCACAACATCTTTTTGAATACTTCTTGTCTCGCGCGCTTTGGCGCACGGTGTCCCCAATGTTGTGCAACGAGACGCGTGTGTCTATAGTCCTTTTTCGAGTCAATCCCGTTTCTCATAAACACTGAGTTGATGCTGGTGGAAAAGCTTTATTGCCATATCCAAACTTGCATTGGATTCTTTTTTATTCCTTTCTTTCTTCTTTGTCTCTTTTGCTATTGCTACTACTATAACGCGGGTGTCTTTGATACACATACAAACACCTCCTGTCACTCTCCCTCTCTTTCTCTTGCACTCTCTTTCCTTCACCCCTGTATCCCTTGAAACAACTTTTGCCGCCTTCAACAACCGTCCATTCACTCGCAATGTCAACTCCATTGATACACCCACCACGACTCTACGACACTCACGACAATCGCATCGCTGCACTTCAGTTTATTAATACAACATGTGGACTCCAACTGGAATCAGACAATCTCTTTAGTCAACTCCAAGACGGCATCGTGCTTTGCAAGTAGGGTCATCTTATGCGACTTGAATGGGGACGACAACTGACATGCATATACCCTATCATCATTATCATTATAGCCTGATCAATGCCCTGAAACCTGGGGCCATACCCAGCATTGGTACTCACCATAGTGCATTCGTCAAGGCAAGTATCTCTCTTTGTGCGAATTCAATGCCAACAACCAGGAACCAAGAGGGAAAAAAAGGGGACAAGAGGGGAAGAGAGAGATATGTGCTAAAGAAGGGAGAACATCCTCTTGTTGGAAAGGAGGAGGGGTTGGATGGATGCAAAAGAAGCATATCTTGAGACAAGGAATGATGGCTAACAAGGTCTACTTGTATATAGATGGCCAATATCAGTTTGTTTCTTAAAGGGGCACGCGAGGTAAGCATCCATCGAGAAAGGAATGTTATATGGTATATTAACTTGCTGATCCATGATCATTTCTTCCTCTTCTTCCATTACCCTTTCCTTTCCTTTAGCTTGGTGTACCATCATCCGATCTCTTTCAACCTATTGATCTATACGAGGCCAGAAACATGGGAGCTGTATGTACATATGCCAATCATTGCTTTATCATTTTCAATTGACTCATCGTATTATTATTACAGGTTGTCAATACCATTCTTACACTTGCTCGTATCAGCTCGCGAAAGAAACGCCAATACAACAGCACACGAAAGCACCATACAGAACGTGATCGACCCTCTGCACGCCGTACATCGATTTCTCGTCTATTCAAAAACGCTGAACGTGGAGGAACAGCACCTATCAGAAAGCAATTTGATTCCCTTCCCAACAACAAATATCGTGATGAATCTTCTCGGCATCGTCATGTCAAAGCTATCTTTGGTCAAGCATCCCAAGTGACAGATGATACACCGCCTGCTACTACATTATCGGTGGTGGATACCAATCGCATTACCGAAAAGGCCGAGGCATTACGAAGAACGTATCGATCCAATTTACGCCCCACATTGGATAGTGGCTACAGTACAATGGCCACTCGCAGTGGTGATGTGCAAGGAGTCACTCGAAGACGACGACGCCGCCGACGTAGCAGTGACAGCTGCAGCAGCAGCATGGATTACAATAGCAGCACGAGTAGTATCGAGGATGGTGAAGGGGCTATCTCCACTACGGACACAGACACGGACACAGCAGGCGAGGAGGAGGATAAGGAGGGGGTGATCTTTACACAAAAGGAGCAACAACGAGCATCATCAACCTCTACAGCAAGTAGCAGTACTCGACCCGAATCGCTTGGTGGTAGTGGTTGTCAACAACATGACATGATGGGGGATGATCATTTGTTTCTATGCGTATCATCATCAGATCATGAGCCTTATCCTCGATCATCACTCTCAACACCTTGCTATGCAGAAAGCCGTCGTCCTCTTCATACACCATCTCCAACTCCTGATCACCATCAGCAACATCATCTTGAATCCAAAAGCAGTGATGACCTCAAAGAGGAGAATAATCGATCAGCTTGCTCAAAGGAGTCTTCCATGATTGCCATGAAACAAGATAAACACAACACAACCACATATTTTGTAAGTTGCAGAAAATGGCATGTCTTTCTTATAGTTGCTTATTCGCTATCTCATAGCAACTTGGCAATTGCATTGGCAAAGGACAATTTGGTGCTGTCTATCGGTACGTGTGTGGGCATGTGTCCTTCTATGTATCGCTTTACTTATATCCCATTCTATAGAGCATTGAATGTTCAAACCGGTGAGATCGTAGCCATCAAACGGATTTGTATTGAAGACATTCAAGTGGATAGTGAGATCATGGCAAGTAGACATTAATTGTGGAGTAGAGATGATATTAACTTTATTCCTTATAATAGCAAGAGGTCGAGCTTCTCAAGGATATGGATAACGCCAATATTGTTCGCTATCTTGGTTCTGTTCGGGATGATACATATCTTAACATTGTCCTCGAGTATGTATAAGGGAGAGAAATACGATGCTTGGAATGAGGAGATTAACTATAAACCCATTAGATATGTGGAGAATGGCTCCCTCCTTTCAACGCTCAAGGCATTTGGTAAATTTCCTGAAGCACTTGTCGCATCGTATACCCAAAAAATCCTTTCCGGTCTTGCTTATTTACACGAGCACGAGGTAAGTAATGTAAGGGGGAGATGTGAATGGGTGGATAATGTCTAACCTAATTTGTGTATCAGGTGGTTCATTGTGACCTTAAGGCTGCCAACATTCTTTCTACAAAGACCGGCGATGTCAAGTTGACGGATTTTGGTGTTTCATTGAATCTACGCATGATGCAAGATGAATTAGGCGCACCTGCTGGAACTCCCAATTGGATGGCACCTGAAGTAATCGAGCTTAAGGGTGCTTCTACAAAGTCAGACATTTGGTCGCTTGGTTGCACCATCATTGAACTCCTTACGGGCCGACCACCTTACGCGGGAATGATTGCCATGTCAGCTTTATATCACATTGTCGAAGATGATCATCCACCCATTCCAGAAAATGCATCAAAGGTAAGATATAGGAAAGACCAGTGGATGGATGGGTGGATCAAGTGCTTATTATCAACTCCAATGCAGACTCTTCAAGATTTGTTGTATGCTTGTTTCCAAAAAGATCCAACGCAACGACCCACAGCAAAGGATTTAATGCAGCATCCATGGATATCATCAGCACTCGCTACTACTCCCGATCAACAACAACAACAACAACCCAACCAAGTCCTGGAAGAAGATGATGATTACAATGTCGAGGAGAATACTCTCGAAAGACCTCAAGTAGATCAACACCTTGAAGACGACGACGATGATTTGGCAATGATCTATCAATACATGCGAACTAATCCCACCATGGATTCTCAACGTGTGGCAGCGAGCAATATCCGCAAAAAGCAATTCATTGAGCATCAATTTGTCAAGACCATGTTTGGTAAAGGTAATAACAACGGCCATGCTTTTAATTGCAATTAATGGCTGATATCACTTTTATAGCTGTTACTTGTAAGGTGTGCATGGTTACGGTCAAACGACATGCTTACTTTTGTGAAGGTAAGTAAAAGAACGATGTATCCATGATACGAGTGTACTCACAGTTGCCATGTTTACTATAGCTTGTGCATTGATTTGTCATGACAAATGTCGCCATAAAGCAGCCTCTTGCCGACCGATATATCCCACCATTATAGCCAAGGTATTTTTTGGGTCTCTCATGCATTTCGACCTTTCATTGACATGTCATTTTCTAGAACACCTCTCAACACCGTGATTCATATCCACCTCGTACGCACAACAAGCTGCAAAAGATGTTGGCTTCCTTGTATCTGTGATACTTTGCACGATCCTTTTTCCTTTATTCGAACATACCATCTACACCCGTATATACAACCATACCAACAAAACAACACACATGCATTCTCCCATTGGCAGCAACAATCCTGGTCGCAGGCGACTACATCCCCTCTTCTTGCAGCAACGGCAGCAACAACAACAGCAACGCTTTTATAGAGCATCTGAACTTTCCTTTACTACTACTCCAAGATACTACTACTACCACCACCACTACTACAACAACAACCTTGTATTATAGCCCAACCCTTTTTACCTTTTTATATATTGTACATGATGAATCAGCCTTAAGAAAAAAGAAAAGCCATTATCCCACTACAATCCACCCTATCCCATTTGTGTATGTGTCATTGAAGAATAGAGAATGAAGTAATTATTAGATATTGAATAACATGATGAGAGAACAAGGGTCTTTACAAAAAAAGAATGCTATTGATTTACTCGGCACTTATACTCTTCTAATGCGGGAATAATAGGTGTGTGTGTTTGTTCTTAGAAGAGAGCAAGAGCAGCGGCACCAGCAGCGACACCAAGAGCGGCATTGACCTTGAAGGAAGAACCAGCGCTTTCATCGTTTTCAGCGGCATCAGAGGAAGCAGCAGCAGAAGAGGAGGAGGAATCAGCAGAGCCAGAAGCAGAAGCAGAGGTAGGCTTAGCAGATGAAGAAGCAGAGCCGGAGGCAGCAGCGGAACCAGAGGCAGAAGCAGAGCCAGAGGCAGCAGCAGAGCCAGAGGCAGATGAAGAACCAGAGGCAGCAGCAGATGAACCAGAGGCAGCAGCAGAGCCAGAAGCAGAAGGAGCATCAGAGCTGGTAGAGTTGCTGCTACCGCTACCGCTATCGCCACCAGCGGTAATTTCAAAGAAAGGAGAGTATTGTTGACCTTGGTCAGTGGTCACTTGGACAGCATCTATGATATAAAAGTTAACCCATCTTGCTCAAATTACAATTGTACAATGGGTTATTGTATACTTACAGTCGTTGCTAGGCTTGGTGTCACTTTGAATGGTCCACTCGTACTTGCCTTCGCTGGCATCAATTTGATCGGAAGAGATGGTGTAGAGGGTGTTAAGGTTGTTGGCATCACCTTGACGCAACACAATGCCAGTAACGGTCTTAGCACCATCAACGTTCCAGGTAATGGTTTGCTTGGAACCAGCGGGCCACTTGGCCTAATTGTATAGACATAGGTATACGTGAGCGATTACAATACAATACAATGGATAATAAATGCAATTGAATGGATACATACACCAAGGGTGGGGTTGATGACAGAGATGCCTTGAGCAGAGACAGCGGCAACAAAGGCGGCAACAGCAGCGAGAGAAAGGGCGAACTTCATGTTTAAAAAGAATGGAATGGAAGAAAAGCGGTTATAAAAGTCATCAAAGTCGCCTCTATTCTTTTATATACACAATCTCGGTCGCACCATTAACGTCGCACAACTCACATCACACACATACAATGTATATACATTTGCCGATTTTTCAACGGCGATCTCTTTACTTAAAGTGTACCTGTCAACAAAACCATATATATCCAAAAACATAGATACATGCCATTGTGCTTCTTTTTTTCCCCCTTGTTGCTACGATCATGCTAAATGGCGTAGCATATGCACTACACGGCACCAAAAAACAAGGTGTTATTTAGAGCGATAGAAGCAAGGGTGCCACTGAGCTACACAAGAACGGTTAGCATCCATTCTTCTTCTCTCCTGGATAAGCTGATGATGGTGGATTATATGTGATATTGGGTTGCCTGATTGCAGGCTTAATTGGCGGGTGTTATTTTTAGTGTTGTGCAACGCGTCAAGCACCGAAAAGCAGTAAGATGGTTTTTTTACACGTGGTGCAGTGCCCAAATTGTCCCACCCTGTGTCATTTTTGCAACAGTGATCTACATGTGCAAATCCTTTCATGCCGTCGCCTGTATGTGTGTGTATGTAAATGTGAGTGTAGGTTGTTGCGAATACATTTACCTTCTTGGCCTTGGTTTTTTTTTAAGACGGAGCCATGGCCCCAGTCCTTGGTATGTTTCAGTCGAAATCTCATGGTCTCAAAAGTGCTTGCAGGGTATCGGGAAGGCCTGGGAAAAGACTTTTGAATGCCATTGAACACTTTTCACTCATTCATCCTACCTATTCAATGCCGTATAATTTTATCGCACTCATTCATCTGCATATCATCATCTTATCGCTTATGGCAATCACGGGAGAAAACGATAGTAAAAGGTGATTTGTGTACATACGTGCATCATCATTGTCGGCTTCTTCCCCGCTTAAGGTGTGGTTTGATGGCCCAGCAGGAATCGCATCTCTGGGGGGCGTGAAATGAGTTTTTCTCTCGCTCTCCGCAATCGAATGGCCCTAACGGTTCTAGGCAGTTTGTGTGTGGGTTACATGCATTTTATTTGCTCTCATCCTTGGATACCATGCAAAAAGAGGTCAAGTCTCATCTCTCCTTTGTTTTGCTTTCATTTGAATTTCTATCACACCATCACAACGACGCTCATTGTATAGGGTGGTCATTGTGAATACGAGTGCAAGAATCCTAAGCGGCTAAACATTATCCTATCTTCAATTCCATTCTCTTGGCATTGGGGAATCATGATGATAAGGTGGATAAACTCTTCAAGCGATTTGATTGTGCACGACTTTTTAAGATGACATGAAAAGAAATCAAAGAAGCATTCGTCGTCGATCACTTTAATTCATATGCAATTATACCAATACAGGCAAATTAGTGAGAAAAGGCTGCTTACCTGGTTTCGTTGTTTGAGCCGCACCGCATAGATGGTACCTTACCTTTGCTGTGTAAAATGTATGTACAACATCTACTTGAGCATTATTTTTATCCTTGAGGATTACACTACGAGTAGCTACTGCCAGCAGCAGCATCTTGCATCTATAATAATGAGTGCCACTTTACCATTAAAACTCCACATCCCCGAGAGAGAGTGATGAGCGAGCCAGAGTGCGTGCGCGTGTGTGTGCCGGACCGGACCACGCCAAGGGCTTGTAGGGAACACAACCTTGTATCCTGCATCCATCCTCTTTCCTAATCATCACAAATGGTGAGCCATCCATCCATTATGTAACCCATCCATCCACCATCATCGCTATTCGCAAACGACATTTACAACACGGATCTATTGTTATACGCTATTTTGAACGATACCATCGGCACACGTTTATATGCATCTAAAGCCGACAATGATGAATGGATGGATGGATGCGGATATTACAGCCTTTTCTCAGTGTACAGGAAAAACGTTGACATATCGTCTTGATAGGCTACTTTGAAGGCCCACGAGTTGCGTAATCAAAACAAGGCTGAGCTCCTCAAGACGCTTGAGGAACAAAAGCAAGAACTCGCCTCTCTTCGTGTTCAAAAGGTTGCTGGTGGCTCTGCTGCCAAGCTCCACCAAATGTGGGTATAGGATATATATATGGTGGTATTTTCATACATGAGACTTAGCAATATCAATAGTGGTGTTGTGCGCAAGAACGTTGCTCGTACTTTGACCGTCATCAACCAAACCCAACGTGAGCAGCTTCGTCTCTTTTACCAAAAGAAAAAGTACGTCCCTCTCGATCTCCGTGTCAAGAAGACCCGTGCCATGCGTCGTGCTTTGACTCCTTATGAACGCAAGCTCAAGACTGTTAAGCAACAAAAGAAGGATGCCCACTTTCCCCTTCGCAAGTATGCTGTCAAGGCATAAATTGTGAACGTTACACCAAAACACAACGCCGCTATTCAACCTCTTTACGCTTGTCATTCGATCCTTCACCTTTTTACACAACACTCTCCACAGACGCACATACACTCATATTGCCACGCATATACGTTATATATCAACATGTTGAATAAACGGGCCATGATGTCTTTTTATTCACGCACCATATAACTTTGACTCCACCCATCGCTTTCAAGTGCATAAGATGTGAGATTGGTGTTCTTTTGGACTATGGAAGGATGGTAATTGTATTGGCTAGATATGGCGTCGTTGTGTTGTCGATGTTGCTGTTGTTGATGCTGTTTAGCCTTCCTCCTTTCATTCTTGATAGCGGCAGGGTTGTCTTCAAGTCCCAGATTTTCTGCATTGGTACCAAGACGTGGGATACGTACATAGGCATCTGTGCCATAACCATCCATCGTCATGACTTGTAACTCGCCACCCCAATATTCGGCATAGACTCGACTCATTGGAAGACCCATCCCCACGTGCTCATGACCCAAGTCGGTAGCTTGCTCTGCTCGTTCTCGCATATCCATAGGCATCTTCAAGATTCCTCGCTCCAAATTACCCAAATGATGTCGACTTTGATACGACCAAAGTTGCCCATAACGTTCAGATGTAATTCCACCGGCTTGATCACTGATTCGAAAGAAAACATCCTTCGCATTTGCACTCACAGTCACCTCCACAGCGGGTATATTGCCTTGCGTATGTCGTTCAAGGGTATATCGTACTGCATTGCTGATCAATTCAAATAAGATGTATTCGAGATGTTCAGGAACCTAATATCCCTTGTGTTAATATTCCACTATGTATCCTTTTCCTCCCTCGTACTTACGTAAGCAAAGATGATCTCATTATTATCGTCTTGTTGCTGTTGCTGCATACCATGTTGATGAGCATCATTATGAACATGGACATGAATTTCGGGTGGTTGTCGACCATAGATTTGATGGGCATGATTGCGAACCAGCGAACTCGCACGTTGGACGACCTTGGATGCTGAACACCGAACATAGATAATACCAATGTAGCCATCATCTTCATTCACCCATCCATGTTCATTCGCATCGGTGAGAGCGATATGTTGTTCTGCCAATGTGCGTCGAGAGATACGAGAACGTAGCATGCGATTCACAAAGCGGTCGAGATCTTGATGATTGTAGCATGCTGCTGAACATTCACTGACACCACGTGCCAAACGAGGCACTACCAATTTGCCATCCTCCAATAAATCCCGAAGCACCTGACAGAAATGTGTATTGTCCTCCAAATCCTGGATCACAGGCTGTTGTCTTATCTTCTCGAATGCTCCCCAATAGAGTCGATACACGTATTCAATATGTGGATTCGTTCCAACAAGGAAAGGAAGCTGCTGAAAGTCCCGGATTCGATGCGCAAGTCGTGTCAATAACTCGCTCCGTACCCAGTTGGCTGCCGTAATGAGTCGCTCCGGGGTCATTTGTCGTCCAAAGAATATATATTGTCGTAACGTACTCGCATTCGCAGGTCGTCGAACGTACTCCTCAAGCACTTTGGTCTGATAGAAATGGTACGGCGAATCAGACTTGACCGAATCCAAAGACACTGCTCGTGGTAGCCCTTCACGTGAATTGTTAAATGTCATTGCGGCATGTCGACTCAGGTGGCGTCGCGGTGATGGTGTGCATTGTGGTGATAGCTTGAGCTTTTTACACGGGTGAGAACGTGTGAATAGTAGTGATCTGTAGATAAGCCTGTGCATAATAAATGAAAGAAAGAGTGAAGAAAAGAGATGGCTGGGATGGAATGTTTTGTAACCAGAACAACAAACAGCCGACAATCGTGTGTGTGCGTGTGCGTTTTCTTTATAGTCCTTGACACTCGAATGATACTTTGTCGTTATCCATGCTATTGATTGGTGCAAGACAAACACGATACGAGATGATGCATCATAAGTGACCCCGATTCTCTTATCCGATCGTAGTACAGTATTTGATTGGATGGTCTCATTCTTGTCATCATGCGTTGTCCTCTCCCAGATAAAAGGGTATACGAGTAGAATGTATTCAAAATCATCCCTCAAGATGTAATAATGTATATATATATGTAATGGCATTATCAATACAGTATACATTCTCTAATCGCTTTTAAACTGCAACATAACCACCACTACCTCGTCGATGGGACATGATCGTGTCAATCACATGCGAAATCAAGTCCTGTGACAGAAAAAAAGTCCCCGTTAGCCGAGTGCAAATAAAGCCCAACCATTTCATTGCTTACCTTAATCAAATAGGGGAGATCAAGCCAGAAGTCTAACAAAAAAAGACCATCGTTGTTACTAAGAAACACACTTTCTCTTATTCATACACCCATAGCCACTTACCACGATGAGGTATCAAATCCAATCCACGAGCATTGTACACCTTGTAATTGTAGAAAGCACCACCAATAAAGTAGACACCCAATAATACAAAGATGCTACCATGATGATACTACCATCAGCCTTCGTCCATGATACCACCACCTGAATAGAGCTATACTTACATTGTAAAGAAGATACCAAGACCTGACATGCCTTCACTACCACCTTGTTCAGGGTTCTCTGGTTCCGATGGAGGAGGTTCCTCGCCCTTCTTGGCACTAGTAGTCCCGAGTTGGATCAGGTCAATGTGTCCATTGTTTGTGTATCCATGTATACCTACGCGCATGCATAAACGGTCTTCCAATTAAGCGACATGACATTGTTCTGATATGACACAAGGGTTGGAGGTTGAGGATCATCCTAAACAGCACCATCATCACATGAGTATCATATCACCTTGTATATAAAAAAGGGTCATCCAATACTTACATTACGAGATTGGGAAGTATCGCACTCCAAAGTTAATTGAGCAGATTGTGCTGTTTCCTTTTCATCATCGTTGCCTTTGTATTTGCCACCATTGAGTGTGAGAGAGAATTGAGCACCACCTAACATAATAATGATTAGCATCTAGCCATGATTCCCTCTATCCCATCCTCCTCCTCCTCCTCCTCCTTACTTTGTGTCAAATCTTGATTGGTGTCTGTAGCCTTGAATTGTGGATTCAGCTTATCCTTGCCACCAAAATCACCAGCAACATTCTTGACCGTCATGACATCTGCATTATCATGCTTGACAAAGAACTCGCGATAACATACATACTAATACCATACATGAGTATACATGTGGATACATACACCCTTCCATGCTCGACTTACTGCTCCCTTTTTGCAAAAGTCTTCTTCACTGGTACCTTCAGGTCGTTCCACAGCATCGCAAATATTGATCAGCACCTGTTTCGAGGTCATGGAAGGAGGATGGGTCTCATTTTGGACGATCGTAAAAGGCCTTGGACAGTTAGATGAGAGTATAGATTTAGCAGGTGATAATAAAACACTACTTACTTGTTCAACTTTGAGAGATCAAGGCTATATTCAGTGTTGGGAATCTTGTATCCAGAGTTGCAATAATCTTGAGCAGCAAAGACACCCATGGCTGCACCCATGGTCAGGGCAAGGCCGAGCTGGATCTTCATTTTGGATAAGAGTGCAAAGAGAAGAAGGAGGAAGGAGGAGCAGGAGGAGGAGTATCCGATACGCGGGTTGCGGTGCTCATGTATGTCTTGGCTGCTTCTCAACTTTTGGCCCTCCACACCGCACCCCCCCCCACACGGATGATGGCTTGTCACCAGGATGTCTGCTATTCGGTCAGGTTCATGGATCCACGTGTCCCATCTCATTCTTATGATATCCGTATACCTGCTGATGACTATGTAGGCACTTGCCTCCTATCATGCGATGTCTCTTTTTTCATTATTCACTTGTCATCTGGTTGATCCCGTTGTTGACATGGAAACACGGTTGCTACTTTAAAATACACGTGGCATATACTAGCAACTGCAAGTGTCGTCGACTTGGTAGTGGTACGTATGTAGAAAGCACTCGCTATAGGGTCGCTTTTGTATACATTGCCAAGCTTGCATAAATGACAATGACCAATCATCACGTTGCTATCCAAGGCAAATGTTTCATAGATGGTGTGCATTTTTCGTATAGTGACGCTTTACCAATTTTCCTTCCTTCTCGTCGGCTAGTACATACACGCTATCACTTATCACATGTCAAGCTGTCAAACCACTCTTATCCTTGTCACCCAGCAATAATCATATACCCAAGTACGCGGCTCTTCTTCAAGTATCACCTACCATATACTAGTAAACCACATCACGAAGCAAAAGGGAGATGTGTCATGCTATCAAGTACAGTCCTTGTTTAAGACACAATGAATCTTTATCGATCAGCTCCTTTCTCTCCCTCTCTTTTTTCCTTTATTGTGGCTTTACAAGTGTATAAACTTTTACAATCATGCATAAACCATCCTATAACACAATGCCTCACCTCTCCACACTCGATGAATTCCTACTCAGGAATAAGGAAGGCCATACAGAAACATAAACATGGTTGGCCAATGCAATCGCGTAATCGCTAAAGTAACCTTTTGATCCAAACATCCTTCATCAGATAAGTTGAGAGGTACAGCAAATTGCTGCAATGGGGATGATGCATCGATTTGGAGGGCTTCTATCTTTTGGGGGTGCATTGGGAGAAGGTGGTTGAATGGGCATAAGGTGGAACTTGGATGCGTGATGGCGAATTATGCAGTTGGATGATGATGGTTGTGCTTGGTTGAAAGATGTGGTTTCTTGCATGCCATGAAAGGTGATGCTTGGGCTTGTGCGTACTTAAGCGGCTATGGTGAAATGGCGCTTGTTGTTGTTGTTGTTGTTGTTGTTGCTCGTAGCGTTCTTGCATGCCACTATGCCTTACCTGTGAAACAATGACATTCATAACTCAAAACGCTACTTATTTACTGCTGGTGATGTTCTTTGAACCATATCAAGTAAGAGAAAAAAGGCCTTGCCCTTTATGAAGCATTGACAAATCCTGCACTCCCGATGGAACCAAACAAATGCAATACCTCGCATACAAGATTACGGCATCAACATAAATATTTGGGGTATGATTGTATAGGATGGAAAAGGTTTGTACAAGGACCCTGGAGGTCACATGATGGATGGGATAGAAAGAAAGGGCTATGATGGATGAGGTCGATGGTGTCGTACAAGGTCCCATCATATATCCCCATTGTTTAGATTCATCAGCTATGCATGGAGCGCGGCTATTGTTTGCATCATTGGTGCAAAGGAAGTGCATCCCAACTTATCCATGATGGTGCTTGTCAATCTGGATTACGTTTTCCTCATACATACGCGCTGTCTTTCTTTTGCAGCAGATAAGATTTTAGAAGCTGTTTTGCTATATTAGGCGATGTCACTAATGCACCGGGTGATCATATGAGCTATAGAGGGAGTGGGTATACCTAGATACGAGTTCATTGTGCAGGCTCTACATCCATCGTTCTCCTTCTTGCGAAATTTTACATTGTCCCGTAGGATCAAAATTAATGTCATTACTGCATGCATAGCCCTGCAAATGGCGTGCCATGATGCAAGTTTGTTCGGTGGGAAAGAAAAGATAGATGTGGTGGGGCGTGGATCCCCTGTGTGTACCACGCTAACCTTCTTTCCCTCTCTTTTTTCAATTAAAGATGGTGGAAACAGAAGAGGCCATGATTCTCTTCTTCCATCTAATAATACAACGTGATGTTGCAAAAATGGAACCATCTAGACACGGCCACTATCGTTGAACCAGCCGAAGCAATAGTTTTAAAACCATCGGAGGTGATCGACCCCATAAAGGAACGCAAATTAAGGCGCAAAGTGGACTTGAGATTGATGGTGTGGTCATTTCTCGCAGCCTTCATCAACATGTTAGATCGCAATAACATGCGTATGTTGATGCTATCACAAATCCAAGCACAAGCAAACAAGGATTGATCATGCTCTCATCTAGAAAATGCGTATACCAATGGAATGGAAGAAGATCTCAATCTCAATTCATCAATATACAATTGGGCAGTAACCGTGTTCTTTATTGGTTATGTGATGTACGTAGTTGGTGGCAACAAATTCCCCGTCTTTGATCGCCAAGGTCTCACAAACAAAAATCTTATTATGCAGAACGCAAATCCCAGCAAACATGATCATCATTCGAATGCGTCCTAATGTATTTCTCCCTACATGTGTCATTATTTGGGGTGCTGTTCTTTGTTTTATGTCTATTGTGAAGGATCACAAAGGGCTGTTAGCGCTCCGATTTTGCCTTGGTGTTGCTGAAGCGGTAAGTAGTCATGACGTACTACGATCTATGCATGAATGCCTGCATGTGCTTATATGAAATGTCTAGACGCTGTATCCATGTATTGCATTTATCCTTGGAACATGGTATACAAAGGAAGAGCTGAGTAAACGACAAGCGCTGGTGGATATGGGTGGTCCTGTTGCTGGTGCTTTTGGTGGCATGATAGGAGGTGCTATTGCTCAAAACATGCAAAATGCAGCAGGGCTACGTGGATGGCAATGGTTGTTTATCATTGAAGGTCTTATGGCTATTGTTATCGGGTTGTCAGGATACTTTTTACTTCCCAACTATCCACACAACACGTCGTGGCTTTCTCAAGAAGAACGGGAGTTGGCTGTAGCACGACAAGCTGCACAGGGTAAAAGTATAAAGTCCAAGCCATATAGCTGGACAATGTAAGTAGGTTCATGCAAAATGAGAGAAGCAACGTGCTCATGTCATCTTTTATTGTGCTTATTCTTAGTCTATGGAACGTGTTCGCCACACCCTATGCTTGGATTGCCATGCTCACTTTTGCATGTGCCAATATGGGCAATACAATCTACACGAACTTTGCCATCATTTTACGTGATATGGGATATGGTTCTTCATTTGCCAACTACATGACAACACCAGCATACATGTTTGGAGTCATTGTTGGGATGTTGATTGGGTGGAGCTCAGACAGGCACAGCGACTATATTGTGCACTTGATCCTATCGCAACTTTGGGTGGGTGGATGGTACTTGGCCATGGCACTTGTCAATCACGGCAATAATCCAACACCTCTAGTATTTATTGGCACCTATGCTATTGCTCCAACCTTTGCCACTGTCACCTTATCTCTCGTTGGCGTCAATCATATTTTCAAGGCTGATCATAATACACGGGCATTGGCTATCGGGTTCATCAACAGCGTAGGGATGCTTGCACCCAATTTTATCAATGTGCGTGCATGGGTTGTCACTGATTCACCTGCTTTTTGTAAGTGATGCTGATGGATACATACATACAATGGAAAAGGATGAAGATGCTGAATAGGATGCATGATAGATACTGGTAAGCTGACCAGCATGGGAATGTGTTTCTTTTCGATTCCACTTGTGGCTTTATTGTGGTGGTTGCTTCGTCACAATATCATGTTGCCAGGGGCTACCAGCGATGCAACATCAGGTACGTGGTGATGATGCGCGATGATGAATACCAGTTGCTGAATAATCAATGATCTTCCAGGCGATGACAATGAAAGCATGCCGTCCGATGATCAAGGAAGTTGTAGCAAATACGGTGCCGTCCATCGAGTCACTCATCCTTAACTCCAATACCTTTCTCTTTGCTTCGTTTTGTTCTCGAGGATTGCATTAGCAGCAATAATACATACCACCACAAACACATAAAAGGTGTCATTCAATGGCCCTTTGCTGTCATATACACGTTAATGAGGATACGATATGCCGCGTTTATTGCATGTGATGATATCTTGTGGGATGAAAGGTGATGATGGAGGGTGGTGTGTGCATGAGCGTCGTGGGGATAAGGTGGATAGCTAGCTTATGGCCGTAGTTGTTGTTGCTGCTGCTGCTCGTCGCGTTCTTGCACACCAGCAGGCCTTACTGGTCGACCATCCCTTACACGTCGTTCTTCACCAAGGACAACTATGCATACAAGTCAACTTCCATTCTACACATTGCAATGAAAAACTTACCTCTCTTGTACAAGATCCAAGAAGTGGCGACAACGAATGGTCCTGACACCATGATAGTGGCCAATCTGTTATAGCAACCAAGGCCGAATTAGCGACACAATGACACTCATTACTCTAAACCTTACCTTCTTCCTGCTGGTGATAGTCTTCGAACCATGTTGAATAAAAGCGGAAACAGAAGTGGGGTGTGGTTTGACAGCAACAGGCGCTGTAAAGGGTGGTGACAGCGACGACTTTTTGTATACAGCAAATCAGAGCCACCCTCCTTCCCAGTTATCCCAAGATCATGATGCATGTATTGAAGATTTCCTTATAATAAAATGACTAGCGACACGGGTTACTCGCTTCACTCGTAAACGTTTGATTTCACATTGAATAGCTTAAGAGCACCCTACGAGGTATGCTCTCATCACAAAAAACTTACACGTTTATGCTATTCTTCTAGGTAGGAACCTGCAAATCATTGCTTTGTCCATATTCACACTAAGAGACTACGTACCTCTGTAATGAACTGCCTTAGATCAACATCATCATACCCTATTTCTTTTATAATTTGTTCATAATCTACCAGCTAATAGCCCTTCATCTAATTCCAACAATTGTTGCTCAATCTAGCATATATGAACGATTCTCTTGCTTCTGCCATTCATTTACATCTCTTAACTTTCTTGATCCGAGAAGATTTGACTGAGTAAAGCTCAACTCGTAAACAGTATACCTTGTATCTATGTGCAGCTCGCATTCGATCGTTTATAATGAACCATGAGATCTTTTTGAGAAGGGAATTGACCAGCGTGTCCAAGAGCACCATGTGTGAAAGTTTCAAGTTCGAGAGGGGCAATCTCATAATCAAGGTTTGATGTTTAGTGTTCATGCATTTATACAAGAGGTGTCCGACCTATTTGATTTCCACTCCTTGGTCTCTTCCTCCCATTCTCAACTATTGCTCATTCAAGTATACAACTACCTCCTGCGAACGATTGTCCTTCTTCAACCCAACATGTCCATCCTACAACTCTCTTGATCCGATACTCTTTGACTGAATGGCATGTTCATGGCGTCTATACAACCTTCTTGTCACCTCATCTACAACACACGAGTCTCTTGACACAACACACGCTCTTGCACATTTCTCTACCACAACCAATCGTAACAGCATTCATTGCAGCAGTTGCTATTAGCAAGGCCTTGACTCCATCGTCTCAAACAGCGTTTTTCCCTTGCAGCAACTTGCCTTACAGCCTTGTTTACGGGAACAGCAGATAGCTATTGTATAGAAGCAGCTTTATTTACGCATAGCAACTTGGTTCAATACATATGACTCCTTATGGATATGGATATGGATCTGAATATTGGTTTGGTATATGGGATGGAAGGAATTGGATATATACAACGCATTGAGAACGTGATGTCTACTTTGGATGAAACCATATCAGCCATCAATGCAAGCAATCTTCAGCTGGTTGAGCTGCGATCGGACATGACCAACAAAGAGAGAGTGGCCAAGGATCGGATGGAAAAGGAGGCATATCAACAGCAATCACTGGGGCTCCTTTCTATCAACATGTTGGGTTTGGGATGGTGATCGTGGATGGATGGCTGCAAATGAAAAACATGGTGATTACTTGTCACGTTGTCAGCAGGGATGGATCATATCATGTGGATACGGTTGAAGATGATGATGGATGGGATAAAATTGACGCATACCTAGTCGGCCTCTTCGTGCTTTTTGGGTATTGAAGGTGGTGACGATGAGATTGATGACTGCTGACCAGTACGAGTACGAGTACGAATGATGATGGAGGACGAAGACGAGGATGGTGGCAATGTAGCTAGATGGAATAAAGCAATTACACACTTGGACTTTGCTAGCTTGTGGATTACATAATGTAGCTTGGAAGATGGAATAATAAAGGTGGTTCGCTTATGTATCGTTCATGCAAGAAGTGTATGCCTTTTGTGATACAATAAGGAGGAGTAGGATGACATTGAGAAGAGAAAAAGTGAACCATCAATAACATCTTACTGCCATGTCCGTGCGCACTGAATTCATTGTTGGGTTTACATGTACAAATTGGTTTATGCAGCTCGACTTTCTTCTACATGCAAATGTGATACATACCTTGACACACCTTCATGGTTGGATGCTGTTTTACTTGCGTACCTTCACAAAAGGCAATCATCATCATCATCCATTTGTGTAGCAACCTGTCAAGGACGTGGTCTGTGTAACCACCACGCGCCGTTTCACTCAGCTCTTCATCTTTCCGTTAATGCAGCCGACACCATCCACTAGGAAAAAGCAACTCCATCACGCTTACAGCATAGGTAAAACATAAAGACGCCTGTATCTCCAAACTTTACAATGAAACGTGTGGTTTTTATTAGAGCAATGTGCTCGGCTTGGCCAACAGCACCTTGTGTGAAAGTTTCGCGTTCAATGTCGCAACTAGCCCAAAAAATATTTTTTTGATCGTCGTCGAAAGAGGTTGAGCCCCGGATCCAGTTTGGCTGGTAGCGACATTGCGAAATCTGGGATTGGCAAGCTTGATCGTGAAACTGGCACCCAAGGTGCAGTTGGCCAAGCCGAGCACATTGCTCTAATAAAAACCCCACGTTTGATTGTAAAGTTTAGGGATACAGCCACCTTTATGTTTTTACTATGCTGTAAGCATGATGCTATATGAAGAGTGGTCTTTGTTCAATGTCAAGTCGCTGGACCCTGGCAGAGCAAAAGATGCAGAAGGACCTCTTTGGGTAACTCAGCTAAAAAGTCAGAACTTCAGGGACAATGCATGAAAGGTACGCAACCCTCATTTTCAGGTCATACATTGGCAGCTAATAGCCACTTTTGTGCATTCCCAACTTTTGTGCATTCTATTGTAGGTGGACGATGCTCCTGCTCTAGACATTCATTTCCATGATTAAAGTAGCTTGATCCGAGCTGATTTGGTTGAGTTACGCTCACACAAGATTACATCGGTTGAGCTACATCGAGCGTGCTTGATGTCCCGAGTGATGTAATCTCTCTTTGACCGCAGCTCAGTCAAATCAGCTCGGATCAACCTACTTTAATCACGGAAATGAATGTCTGGAGCAGTATCGTTCCCATGCAGTGGATCTCGCAACAATGATGATTGGATAAAAGTGGCCGTTAGCTAGCAATACATGCCTGTTCCTAGATGATCCATAAAGTAATTATACATTGACCCTTCCATTCATGCAAACGTAGCTGTGTTACACAACACGACCCCAGAATGCGGCTCTGCCAGTCCACCTGCTTGACGGTCGAACAAAGACCACTCTTCATATAGCATCACGCTTACAAACATAAAGGTGCCTGCATCTCCAAACTTTACAATGAAATGGGGTTTTTATTGCTGTGCTCGGCTTGGCCAACTGCACCTTGTGTGAAAGTTTCGCGTTCAATGTCGCAACTAGCCCAAAAAATATTTTTGATCGTCGTCGAAAGAGGTTGAGCCCCGGATCCAGTTTGGCTGGTAGCGACATTGCGAAATCTGGGATTGCCCACGATGAACTTCATACTTTAACACAAGATTCCTTTGACCCCGACGAGCACATTGCTCAAATAAAAACCCCACGTTTGATTGTAAAGTTTGGAGATACAGGCACCTTTATGTTTTTACTATGCTGTAAGCATGATGCTATATGAAGAGTGGTCTTTGTTCAATGTCAAGTCGCTGGACCCTGGCAGAGCAATACGTAACTGAACGAAGCATACT